CGCTTCTTCAATACGAGCAATATTAACGTTGCGTAAGTCCCGCCGCATGGGTTTGGAGATCAGTTCAGTTGCCTGTATGCTATCAAATCTACTGAAGACTGCAACTTCATTTTCCATCTAACAGCCATGACATTAAGAGTGTGATGGGAGAATTTTTTTTTTGTTTTTGAGCGGCGGATCTTGCAAAACTTAGTTACGACCGCATGGACAGTTTCCACGAGCTTGTCATTCATATCGTCCACTGCATTGCAAATCTTCTAGGCACTGAAAACAGTCTTGTTATTTGAGCTGAAAGGTTTTGGGGCTCTGGATTAGAGCAAGAGAGGGACGGAGCGTTCACTTCATTAGACGACACCTCTCCAACTTAACATTTAGGTTCAATGTGCCTCTAACCATTCGGTAATCACTACCACTTTCAACCTCGCGATCACTAAGACATCACTGAACAATTGCCGTCTAGTCGTCATAATGAAGACAATCTCATTTTTTGTCGAACCGTCGGGGCCTGGTCCACTTCCTGTGGGGCCGCTTATGAACGAAAGAGTTCATCATATAGAATACCTCTTTCTCCATGATATCGGTCAGCTGCTGGTTTCTTGGGTTCCGTTGCCCTATTCCAAATTTCCCTACCCTCAGCTCGCCATTCTCTCTTGTGCCTAGTTTTGCGTTGAAGTCTCCTATTAAAACCCCATAGTGGGTTTTGGAGGAATGCATGGCTTTAGAGATATCCTCATACATTTCCTCCACCTCCTCGTCGGGCTATGTCTAGGTTGGTGCGTAAGCCTGTATGACCAACGAATACTGTTTAGTGATTCTGAGTCGACACACAATCTTTATAACGTTCTTAAGGAAGTCTCTTGAGGACGATAAATCCGACACCTCCTTGGGACAAATAGTCGCCCTCCCGGTGATAGAACAAGTTGCCGGATTCGGGGATTACCGTGTCCTCCCCCTCTCTTCGGACATCGGATAATCCTATAATATATCGGATAATCCTATAATATGCCAGCGTAACTTGTCCATTTGTTCTTTCAACTCCAGGATCTTCTCGCCAGTTCTCAGGGTGCGTGCGTTGTATGTTGCCAGGTCGAGTCGTCTTAGGTGGCAACCGAATCTCCACCGGAGATTATTAGCACCCCCTGCCCCGCTGTTACCATGGTCGCCACCGTAGCCAGGAATAGCGTGGCGCCGGGGATTAGGCCCGTCTTTTTGTAACTTTTGTCATGGGGGTATATTGCCATAGTTGCCACGCTTGGTGGGCTGGTTGGCAACCGCAGGTTTTTATTGTAATTTGCTGTTATCAGAAAGACGCTGCTGCGCATCTTCTGTCTCAGTTTCCCTCTGTCGCCTTTTATGACACCCACGGGAAGATATGGGGTGGGTATTCTTATCCGTCACCAAACGGAATCAGCTAGTTAGGAAATAAATTTGTATTATGTTCGTACATTGTATTTGTAGCACGAGGCTTGATTTAAAAATATAAAACTGTCATCTGTAAATTACTTCACTGCTGCTGTAGACTTATATGCGGTTGTAATCGGACGTTTTGACGCACCTTTCAAGCTATTCATTCGATTTGTATATATATGGATGTGTAAGCTAGGTATTTATGATATTTTCTAGAATATCCGCGTCGATTCTCAAGGCAAAGTTAAAATGATTTTCCACAGAGGCATAAGCCAGCTAAACACAAGTTTTGGAGCCTGTAGGTTTCATATAGATGTAAGAAAAGAAGGTTGGAAATAATCGTAATTTTTGCTTGCTGCCCATCTCCTATTTTAGTTTCCCAATTTTTTATAGCATAAGAGTGGTCAAATGTGGTTTACATAGACCCCTATACGAGTATCTATCTTCGATTAAGTGAGTTATCACACCTAAGGATTAAGATGGAAAGCCTAGTTACTAGTAAAGTGTTTACGTGGTAGAGCCACGCTCGAATGGATCGGCTCGACCGGGGACTATGCTCTCAGCTCACGGCTTCTGTTTCGTACGATGAGTGTAGAAAACCAGAGACCCTTTTTACTGGAAAAGAGATATTCTTCGTACTCAGGGGTGACAACGCATCTGCATTTTGATTCTTTAGCGAGGGTAAATGTCTTTGGGTCACAGCATCGACTTAACATCAGGTGGACCGTGTGCTCCGTAACCATAACTATAAAAAAAACGGTTCTTCAAAACAAAATCTAGCAGCATTATAATGCTATGTTACGATGGTATTTATACGAGCGTGGTCCTTCCTCGGTCGATTCGACTCAATCGTGGCGTGGTTGTAGATTTTTTATATACAAGTTTATTTTGCAATAACCGGTCAAATTTGCAGAGGTGGTTCAGAATAAGTAATATAAGCGAATGGTGAAAAAAAATTTACAAGAAAAAAACTGAAACATTTTATCTTTTTTATCCTTTAAATTCAAAATATGTGGAAATGCATTATTTTTATTGATTGTCATTCATAAATATGAATTGCCTACTATTTTACACGCACGCACACATTCGTAAGGGAGCATTGAGTTCAGAAGCGTTCGGCGCTCTTACTCGGTTACAGATTTAGGTATGTAATAGCTGTTGTTTTGACTCAGTAAAGATAAACGCGTCTCCCCGGGCCGACTGACAGTGTTGACTTGACCGTGACCTCATTGCGTACCGAGTGTCCTATTTTTAAATGTTCGTAGGTAGTATTACTTGTCGTTTAGATTATAGGAAAGTGTGTCTTTACCCCGTTTGCGAAGGAAATAACGTGCGGGCACCACCCAATCGGAGTGTGTACCAAACCAAATGCTGTCGTCAGACTTTGGACAGTTCAACACTTAATCGGAAGTGCTCGAGGTGGTCCATTACCAAAACAAATGCTGTCAGACTTTGGACAGTTCAATACTCCGTCAAATCGAAGTGCTCGAGGTGGTCATTCAGTAATAAGCCCGGCTGTCGAAAACACAGTGATCGAGTTTTTCAAGCGAAACCCCCGCGCTAGCAACAATAACTGCATCATTTGAGAATTCAGAGTTAGTCATTATTACGTGTGGAAACTACTGAATTCTTCTAGATATGACTCATTTCATTACCAACGTGTGCAAGCACTGAATAATAACGATTGTCTATCTCGAAAAAAAATTGTGAATGATTGATGTCAGAATGGTTGATGTCAAACATTGATAATACTAATATTATGTGGACTGACAAAGCCCTATTTACGCGTGTAGGGCTTTATAATAGTCGTAACGAACATTAATCTACTGTATGCAACCCACAGTTATCATCAAGTGCGATTTTTTCTGATAACATAATTATGGGTCCGTTCTTCATTGAAAGACGTTTAATGGGTGGTAATTATTTGATCATGTTACAAGGTGTTATTCAAGATTCCTGGAGGATATACCCCTAGTGACGACAGTGTTCCGCCTCACTATTCAAGTGCAGTGCGTTATTATACAAAGATGGTGGATTGGGCGTGGCGGCCATATAACATGGCCTGCAAGGTCACCGGACCATACACTATTAGACCTTTATTTATGGGATGAAATAAAGAGACGGTTTTACGTCGAAGAGGCCCAAAGCTAGGTATGACGACTCCGCAGCAAAATAATTGCTTTATTCACGGAAGTGAAAAGTGCTAAGACACATGTAATTAATATGAAAAATAATTTAAGGTAACATGCTCAACTATGCATTGTGAGAAACGGGCTCCGTTTTGAACATCTATTAAAATACCATTAATTTAGTTTTATTTTAAGTGATTGTATATTTAAGATGTAAATAATTAATCGTTTTTAAATGTTCAATAGTTGTAAATACTTGATTCTAATTTTTAAATATGCCATAGTTTCTGTCAGTTTTGAATATGTTTATTGAACAGCGTACGCTCCGACGCTACATGTCGATAGAGGTCGGCAATGCTCGGCAGCCATCCGGGCGCCTTCGTTTTTACCGGCCAGCCAGTTTGCTAATCTGCTTTTAAATGCCTTCAGTGCTAGGTGCTACGCTCGCGCCACCTGAGTAAGCTTTATTTAAATCGTGCTAACCTGTCATCGACTTTCCAGCTCAACTACCTTTTCTACAACTAATTGTTTACATTTATTCCCCACTTTTTTCGCTCGCTCTGTAATCTAAACTTGTATTTCAAATTGTCTTTTGTGTGGGAGTAAAAACTGTATTTAATTCGAGGAGTGCAAACATTTTTATTTGCATAGCGTAAATCCCAAACGACGTTGCAATGTATTTGTTTTTATTTTATTTATTACAACGGTTTTAAGCCCGTTTAAAGTATGAAGGGAAAATTGGGATCATAATTCGCGTCGTAGTTATTAACTTAGTATCGAGCGTACCATCAAAGAAGTAAATAGTAGGCAAAAGCTTCGTGCATTGACTCGTACACACACGAGCGCGCGTTATTGTTGCCCATAAATAACATTCAATTTCGTTTATCTATACAAATAAATAAAATTGAAGTGTCTGTTTGTAATGTCAAAATTACAGGTTTTTACTAAATTCATATGAAAGTATATAGGGTACTAATAACAAAAATACAATTTTTAAAATTTTTGTCTGTCTGTCTGTCTGTTTGTTCCGGCTAATCTCCGAAACGGCTGGACCGATTTTGACGGGATTTTCACTGGCAGATAGCTGATGTCACAAGGACTAAATTAGGCTACTTTTATTTTAGAAAAAGAATTAGGGATCTGCGCAAAAAATTAAAACCCCAAATAACACGCGGGCGAAGTCGCGAGGAACAGCTAGTTTTCAAATAAATGTAGAAACCTTATTTATGCGTATTTTTAAAAACTGCAAAAAGAGTATATTAGTATTTATATTTTGAACTTAATTATTAAATGTGGCTAGTCTTTGAAAAATAACCCTGTATAGTATAAACGTGACAAACGAGCACACAGTCCACCTGATGGTGAATGCTGTGGCGTATAGACTTCTACACATATCCTCAATTAAGAATCAAAATGCAGAAGCGTTGTCACCCCTAGACTAAGACGGAATAGCTTGCAGCAGACCTGGCTATGAAGATGCCGCTGGTGTCGGGTCTGGCCAGGTGTCCGGGCTGCGTGAAGAGGCGGTGCGGCCGGTACAGGATGTCCACCAGCAGCGACTGCTCGGCCTGCAGCAGCGGCTGCAGCTGCTCCTCCAGCAGCGACACGATCTCCTGCAGCCCCTCCATCACCGACCGCTCGTTCTGCAAATGCGACTGCGCCCACCACCACGAGATATTAACAACAACAATAACTACCAAACGCATACATTAGCAAGGAAACAAATGTTTACCAACAGTAATGCAACGTTTTAATAATTTTCGCCATTTTTTTTCAATATTCAAAAATACCTGCAAAGAAGCAAATGTGTACACTACAGTTGTGCAACATATCAAAAAAAAATACTAAGCCACTATTAGGTAGGTACTCGGTACGCCACTATTACGTAGAGACACGTCAGATCGTGACAATATGGCCGGCCACATACATACGGAATTCCGTTTCGGGATTCCGTTTCGATATTCCGATTCGGAATCCCTAACGCAGCAAGTCCATATAAAATCTATGGCCCGTCACACACGTACGGTAGTTTTCCGTTCGAAATTTTGCGGACAAAACGGGATTCCGTATGTGTGTGCCGATCCGTTCGGAATTCCGAAACGGAATCTCGAAAAGGAATTCCGTATGTATGTGGCGAGCCTATAAGTCTGCGCATATATACGCATATATCTATTAGGTAGCGACACGTCAGGTCGTGACAATATAAACCTGCGCATATATCTGTTAGGTAGCGACATGTCAAGTCGTGACAATATAATTCTGCGCATATATACGCATATCATATCGACACGTCAGCCCGTTACTATATAAACCTGAAACTGACAGTCAATTAGGCCGTATTACGCCAATTTGTGTACATTAACGGCACAGTATAAATATGAACAGTATGGAAACTAAGCCTAGTTGAGGATATAATTACCTACGCTCCATTGAAGCAATAGGGTTGTAACTTTTAATGTTTTGATATTGCTTTTTTTATATTTTTGTTCTGTAGTGATCAATCAATCGAATTTAAATAACTAGCTTACAAATACAATTTAAATAGGTAATCTCATGGCGTCGGGTAATCTCAGCCAAAAACGATAGTTTAAACACGGAAAACAATTTATTATTAACACACAACAACTTGTAGAACTTTAAATTTGTCATTATGGCTTAACTCTTTACAAGTTTCGGCGGGAACGTACGCGAGCCGCAGTTGGACGAAAACGTAACTTTATTCTTCATGAGTTGTTTCCTGCGACTTCGCTCACGTGTTAGGGTTTTTATTTTTTAGCGCGATACCCTAATTCTTTTTCGAAAATAAAAGTAGCCTAAGTTACTCCTTATGACATCAGCTATCTGCCAGTGAAAGTGGCGTCAAAAGCGGTCCAGCCGTTTCGGAGATTAGCCGGAACAAACAGACAGACAGACGGACAGACAGACAAAATTTTAAAGATTGTTATTTAGTTATAAGTAGCGTATTTACTTTCATATGTATTTAGTAAAAAGCTGTTATTTTGACATTACAAACAGACACTTCAATTTTATTTATTTGTATAGATTATTACAAATTTATTACAGAAAAATATTTTCGTCTGCTACGACAAGTTTGGAATTCTTTATTATCGAATTTAACTGTGTAAAAAGTATCATTCTTATGAACAGGTTTATTTTAAATAAACTGTTGGAAAACAAGGAAATTAGATCAGCTACTTTGCAGTTTATGTGTACTTTTTTAAAGCAACAACGAAAAATCGGTTTCAACACCCTCAAAAACCATGAAAATGACACCCATGACGAAAAATTAATACCTATTGCAGCCTTTTTCTTGGATTTACATTTCAACAGCACTATCGGCTTCAACACCCTCGAAAACCAAGAAAATGACACCCATGACGAAAAATTAATACCTATTGCAGCCGCCATCTTGGATTTATATTTCAACAGCACTATCGGCTTCAACATACTCAAAAACTATGAAAATGACACCCATGACGAAAAAATTGATACCTATTGCAGCCGCCATCTTGGGTTTATATTTCGACAGCACTATCGGCTTCAACACCCTCGAAAACCATGAAAATGACACCCATGACGAAAAAATTGATACCTATTGCAGCCGCCATCTTGGATTTATATTTCAACACCACTATCGGCTTCAACATACTCAAAAACCATGAAAATGACACCCATGACGAAAAAATTGATACCTATTGCAGCCGCCATCTTGGATTTATATTTCAACAGCACTATCGCCTTCAACATACTCAAAAACCATGAAAATGACACCCATGAAGAAAAATTAATACCTATTGCAGCCGCTATCTTGGATTAATATTTCGACAGCACTATCGGCTTCAACATACTCAAAAACCATGAAAATTACACCCATGACGAAAAATTAATACCTATTGCAACCGCCATCTTGGATTTATATTTCAACAGCACTATCGGCTTCAACATACTCAAAAACTATGAAAATGACACCCATGACGAAAAAATTGATACCTATTGCAGCCGCCATCTTGGATTTATATTTCAACGGCACTATCGGCTTCAACATACTCAAAAACTATGAAAATGACACCCATGACGAAAAAATTGATACCTATTGCAGCTGCCATCTTGGATTTATATTTCGACAGCACTATCGGCTTCAACATACTCAAAAAACATGAAAATGACACCCATGTTTTTTATTAGTGATCGATGCACCCATGACGAAAAAATTGATCCTATTGCAGCCGCCATCTTGGATACATTTACATTTTGCCAGCACTCAACTTCAACGAGGCTTCAACACCCTCGAAACCCACGAAAATGACACCCATGACAAATAAATTGATACCTATTACAGCCGCCATCTTGGATTTACATTTCAACAGCACTATCGGCTTCATCACCCTCGAAACCCATGAAAATGGCACCAATGACACAAAAATGATAACTATTGCAGCCGCCATCTTGGATTTACTTTTTGTTACAACTATTGCACTATCAGCTTTAAATAGCCTCAAAACCGCCGCATTCTGGATTTACAAATAAGTTCACGAATTCATTATGATCGGTCACACGGACTTATAATTCGATAACGATTATAACATTGAGAATAAAAATCATTCTTACCTTTCAAAATTAACAGGAAGCTTAAAATACGATAGCTCCGGTTTTGATTAAGCCGAGTTCAAACACCCGTATACTACGCAATACGTTCGTGGCATATTTAAAAATTCTTGACGCGACACTCGTTCCTGAGAGCACCGCGACGAGCGCTTAGAAGTCTCGTCGTTGCGCATGTTTGTGTGAGTGTGACGTTTCGAGCGTTTGTAGGAAGTTTCCGTACTGTTCCTACTATATATTTACTGTGTTAACGGCTCAGTAGCAGAATGGCTAAGCGATTGGTTGTGACACTAGCCGTTAGTTGCTATCCTTGCGTATCGAATATTTCCTATCCATTACAGCAAATAAAAGTCCACTGCCAAACATAGGCCTCCCCAATAGATTGCCTCATTGGGAGGGTCTTGTCATAGTTGCCACGTTTGGCAGGCGGATTGGCAACCGCAATATTTTATAATGTTAATTTCTCTCTGTCGCTTCTCACAACACTCACGGGACGATATGAAGTAGTGGATATTTTTATACCGCCTTACACACTATATTATAACGTATATACATGTAATTATATTTTATGAATATAATTTAGATTGAATGTGGTAACAAACTATGGAAGAAACGAAATATATTTATCATGCTGAGGTACGTGAATTTCTTATTATATTAATTATTCAAAAAGTTCTTACAACACACAAATATATTATTATATTATATATATATTTAAGGTTTTAGATATAATGCGATCAAAATAAGAATAGAACAGTTAATGATCTTCGCCTGTTTTGCATATATTTTTTTCTACATTATATAACTAAGTCTTAATACATTTTGTAGTATTTAATAATTGATATTAAAAAGAATAGTGGCAAAGGGTGATGTTTGAAGATGAGAAATTTGGTTTTATTATTAACATAGTTATTCAATCACCTATTTTTTCAATAACAGTCGTAGAATGTTTTAGATGCCTACATAAATTCATGTTATATTTTTATAAAGTAATTCGAAAATTAATAAAGTCAAGTCTGTTGTAAATAAATATATATATATATATATATATATAATCAAAATATTTGTTTTGCTCAACCTAACAGGTTTATATGAACAGCCGAGACATCACAATATGATGGAAAGCCATTCCTATTCTTATTTCGATTGCAATAATAACAGACAGATAATTCGGAATTCGGGGAAAAAACAAAAACAGGACACGGCACTCGTGACACACCAAAAATGAAACAAGTTTGACAGCGTCAATTCAATAGAAATATATACGTCACTGTGTCATTTAATAGCCCAAGGTAACTCACTTCACTTCTCGAGCGATCAGTGTCGTCTAGCTGTTCCAACGATATCGCCTTTTCAGCAGGAAAACACGTTTTAATTTAAATACCACTAGTGTTACGATATGAAACTATTAGATAAATATTAGCTAAATTTTAAAAATAAATGATACTCGAGTTCCTCTGCCTTTTTGCTGTGGATAAATACAAATTATACTACTTTTATTTTTGGTTTAAGCCCGCAGAGAAAAAAGGTTTAGATTATTTTTCTATATTTAAAATTTTTCTTTCATGGCCTGTCGCTTAGTCTATAAGTAAAACTAAAAACTAGTACAAAGTTTTCGATTCTAGAACTATTTTTAGTGAACTGATACGTTTTTCTCTCTCTTTATTAATATTTAGTATTTTCTTATGTCAATTTTTCCTTAGTGTACAATGAAGTGCACTGTTTTGGAATGATTCACGTTCCTTATGGCTTCAAAACAAGATGCACGTTGAGTCTGCAGTACTATTATAAATATTGATAACATCATCATCATCATCATTAATGTTACAGCTTCACTGCTAAACTTAGGCTTTCCCCAAGAACATCACAAGTCACAGTTCTGAACTATCCATTAAAAACTTAGTCAACAATTTTTATCATTATCATTACAGCCCATCACAAGTCCACTGCTGAACATAGGCCTCCCCCAAAGAATGCCACAAAGCGCGGTCCTGAGCCACCTGCATCCATCGACTGCCTGCATGTCTTACCAGGTCGTCACTGGTACGAGGCCGCCACTCGAGAACCTTTTTCCCCATCGGTTGTCGGATCTTCGAGCTATATGGCCGGATCAGTGCCACTTCAGCTTACTAATCCGTTGGGCTATGTCAGTTACTCTGGTCTACTGCGGATATCCTCATTTCTAAGCTTATCACGCAGAGAAACCCCGAGCATAGGCCTCACTATAGCTCGCTGAGCGACCTTGAGCTTCCTCATACGGCCAGCAGTGAAGGACCACGTCTCAGTCCTATAGGCCATTTTTGGTTAGAAATAGTACATTATTTTGTGTCTGTAATACTCGTTTGCAAAATAAATTTGTCATTAACTGTGAGTAATTAACTGTATTGCCTTCACGAAATAACGTACAATTTTCAAAAATTAAACACAATTTTTTATAATAAATACCACAAGTCTAGATAAGTCTTTTTCTAGTACTGGTTAAATATGACTATGATTCCTCACCTGTGAAGCCATCTTCTCCAGCTTCGAAGTCTTGGACGCAAGCAGCCATTTGCTGGTCTGTCTGGAGAGTGCGGCCGCCTTTTCAAACACCGTTTGTATCTTCGCTTCTAACTCCAATGGTATTGCTATACTACGGCTTTTGGCTGTGGATAATAAAAAAATTAAAGTGTAGATATATGTAGCTAAGATCAGAAAGGTTATTTTCGATAGACTTATATTTAAAAAAAAACTCTACACAAAGAACTTGAAGTGCTGTTATAGTATAGAAAAACTCTTTTCAAGAGTAGAGTAGAAACACTAGTGCTGGTACTAAAAAAATTGTTATAGCAGTTTTAAATGCTGAGCTTCTAGAGGAAGAAAATCTATTTACTATTTAGAGAATATGCAAGATCAGTCAAGGTATTTTATAAAACTGAAGTGACAAACGATCATACAGTCGACTTTACGATAAGTGGCTTGCACCTTATGTACACCTGCAACGAACTTCAAACAAAGAAGGCTGCAGAAGGATTATCACCTCTGAGGACTAAGATGGAATGCCTCACAGCCTGTTATCATACTAGCTATCTATAAGCCGTGGTAGATCCATGCTGCAGCTATATTAGTAGTATAGTTGTAGCACGAATGGGTCGGCTCGACCGGGGGAGGACCACGCCCTCACAGAATACCAGCGCAAAATAGCAGCTTAAACCCTCTATTTTCATTAGGTAAGTGAAGAGAACCGGAGACTCTTTTTACTGGAAACGAGGCATTCCATCTTAGACATATGCGTTCTCATTGAGGATGGATGTAGATGTCCATGGGCCACAGCAACCACTTACCATCAGGTGTACTTTGTGCTCGTTTTTCGCCCTATCCTATAAAGAAAAGGGATTCACTACACTCCACTTTACTGTTCGTCATATGGGAAGCTCAAGGCAACTTAGCGAGCTATTATATTTGGCAGTTCAAGTTTGAGTAACCGACACAGCCCAACGGATTAGTAAGTTGAAGTGGCAATGGGCCGACCTTATTCTATACCAACAACTGATAGGGAAGAAAGGTTCTCGAGTGGCAGCCTCGTACCGGTAGACGCAGTATAGGGCGTCCCCCATTAGATGTAGTGACGACTTGATGATGACACATCACACAGGTGATGAGACATGCAGGAAGTAGATAGATGCAGGTTGCTCAGGACAGTGCTTTGTGGCATTCCTTGGGGGAGGCCTATGTTTAGCGGTATATTTGTGAAAGGCTGTAAATAATGATGATGATGAAGGACCCACTCAAACACAAATAAACATTTCATGAAAATTGATCCAGCCGTTAAGGAGGAGTTCAGTGGCAAACGAACGTACAGAAGAGTTATAATAATAAACTTTGTGGATTATGCTGAAAGAAATCAATAAGTATGTGTGTGTGGTAAAGACTACTTACCAACTTCGCTGAGTGTCCGTATGCACTTCTCGACGTTGAGCTTCTGCGGCGGAGTGAGCCAAGGGCACTGGTAGATGCGGAACGTGGTCTGCAGCAGCTTCACGAAGATCGACTGCCGCGTCTGGACAGGGTTACGAGTGTCACTGAGATTGCTGTGAGAATTTTATTTTTAGATTTTTCCATTTTAATAAGATATGTACACGATATTCAACCGCCAATCACCTGACCCAACAGCCCAAGGTAAGACACGTCAGTCTCGTAAAGTGTGTAAAATAATCATGATGAGTTTTATCTATCGTGTATCGTTAAATTTTATTACATTTTAGCGTTTTTATCTTAAGGAGAAGAAATAGCGAAAAGAAACTCCGCAGGTATTAGTAGGTGGTAGAACTCCTTTTCTACAGACTTCAAAAAGGAGACGGTACTCAATTCGACTGTATGTTTTTTATATGTGTTACTTCATAACTTTTTATTGGGTGAACCGATTTCGATGATTCTTTTTTTATTTCAAAGCTGGTGCTTCACATGTGGTCTCATATGAATTTGATCAAGGTCTGACCAACAGTTTTTGAGTTATTCTTAATAATTTATATTGAAATCGGTTGTACAAAATTTAAAATTTTAAATTATCTGTTTAAAATTCCATCTGAGAATGTAACACTCTCTAAGCTATGGCTACCGCTATGCAGCAGTGCTTGCTGTGCCGTGCTATATTAAGGGTCTAGTGAGCTAGTAGAATAACAGGCTGTAAGGCATACTATCTTAGGCCTCAGATAAGACATCGCAACGGTAGAGTTCTTTGTTTGACGTTGTTAGAAGCATTGATGTATAAGTACTACTGCAGTCCATTGACTGCAGTAGCTACTTACCATCAAGGTGGACTGTAAGTTCGTTTCTCATTTCAGTTTTATAATAAAAGTTATCATTTTTTTACAATGTTTTATATACAAAAGTTGCAGACCAGTTTGTAATTAAAGTATGCTAGTTTTCATAATGATTTCTTATATTTACGCGAACACTACACATTGAATAAAACTATTTTTACGGATTTTAAACGCGATAAAATCCGTAAAAATAGTTTTATTCAATATGCTAGTTTTAATATGAAAAACAAATAGAATACGAGGGGAGGTCAAAAATTTCGCGAAATGGCGGGGTTGGCGCGGATGAGTTTACTCATCCAGGTAGGCGTTAGTTGAGTGACTCATTGTTAGTATTTATAACAAGTTTCAACATAATCGGGTCATTAGCTTTTGAGTTGTCAACAAGTGAACAAGTCAATCGGGAAGAAACTAAAGTTTCTCACCAAATAAGGAAAGACACCTCAAACCATTTTTCAAGTGGTGTCAGCTGTTTATGGGGACTCCGCTCCTGGGAAAACCATGATTTATAAATAGCATACCCTTTTCAAACATGGGAGGGACTTCATTGAAGACGACCCCCGATCTGAACGGCCGGTTGAGGCTACCACGCCATAAATAATCGAAAAAGTTGAATAACTTGTATTGGAAGATGCCCGCATAACGAAACAACAGCTTGCAGCATTAGTTGGAGTATCAGAAACAACTATTTTAAACATCCTACATCAACACCTTGGCATGACTAAAGTCTGTGCAAGATGGGTTCCTGCGCATCAAAAACACGAGCGCGTCGAAACTTATTTTTGGACCGCTGTGGAGAGCAAAGCGATGAAGTTATGGCACGAATTGTAATTGGTGATGAAACCTGGGTTCACCATTATGAACCTGAGTCAAAACAAGTGTCGATGCAGTGGCATAAAAACGGCACAACCCTCCTAAGAAGTATAAGGTGTCTGAATCGGCAGGAAAGATCATGGCAACGATCTTTTAGGATACAGAAGGTATCCTTTTGATTGATTACAAGGAACGTTTCCATAACGGGAGAATACTACGATTCTTTTCTAGATCAATTAAAAGAAGCTGTTAAAGAAAAAAGGCGAGGAAAGCTTACATAAGGCGTACTCCTTTTGTACGACAATGCTCCCGTGCACACAAGCCATGTTGCGACGGCTGCCATTCACCGGTGCGGTTTTGAACAACTACACCAGCCACCCTACAGCCCAGACCTGGCCTCAAGCGACTAATATTTGTTTCCAAAAATGACGAAAGAACTGCGTGGCAAAAAATTTGGTGACGAAGTTGAAGTGAAGTCGGCAATTTCGGCCTATTTTGACGCCCAAGACAAATCTTTTCTTTTTAGACGGTATTAATAAGTTATTTGACAGATCTAATAAATGTATTAAGGTTAAGGGGGAATACATTGAAAAGGAAAAATAGTTTAATGTTTCATTTCATTATCCTTCCCTGTCAATCCGCGAACTTTTTGACCTCCCTCGTAGATATGTGTAGGAAACCAGAAGTTTTATTAGGTGATTTGTTGGTTATACTTACTTTTAATAATTCCAACGAAAGCAAAAACATAATTTTTATTTAAGATAAAATATTTAAAAAAATAATAATCGCAAAGGGTAATGTAATGATGAATAATTACATAAAAATTAATATATACTTAAAATGTATCAGTTTATGACAATCTCGAATGTCGGCAAAAATAAAGAACGGCATATAGTTATTATATTGTTAACCTACAAAAACTTTTATAAAGGACCCGCTAATTGCCTTCAGGCATTCACTCCCAGTCAATCCTTAGAATATTGGATTTAATGGGAAAAGAGAATTTTAAATTAGAAACAAAAAACATAAGCACTATGAAAAATAAAAACAATAATAATTCTCATTGCTGCCATGATGATTCAAATGGTCTTGAAATGATTCAAAAGCTAGAATTCATCCAATACCAGCAACATGAACAGCTGACGTTATTTCTCGGCTGTTCGTTGGATATTTTACATATTAACAAAAGGTTTAAAAAAGCACTTCTTCTTAGTTCACAGAGCTACGCTCTGTAGCCATTGAATTTTATTTGAAGTCCATCAAGTGGACTGTAACTTCGATTATAAATTCAATTTCATTAAAAAAAACGGGTAATATTAAAAATAAAGTGAACCTGCACGGTGGTGCTCTGGTCGCTGAAGGGCGAGTTGAAGAAGGTGCAGATGGTGTGCACGAGCACGTCGGTCACGTAGTTGACCCAGGCGCGCTGCGCGCTGCCCGCCGAACTCCTCTGCGGCGAGGATGCGTCCTCGCTCGACGTACCTCAATGGATAACTTCATTTTATTTTATTACATACAGCTGGCCGTATGAGGAAGCTCAAGGTCGCTCAGCGAGCTATGGAGAGGGCTATGCTCGGAGTTTCTCTGCGTGATAAACTTAGGAATGAGGATATCCGCAGTAGAACTAGAGTAACCGACATAGCCCAACGGATTAGTAAGCTGAAGTGGCAGTGGGCCGGCCATATAGCTCGAAGAACCGACAACCGATGGGGAAGAAAGGTTCTCGAGTGGCAGCCTCGTACCGGTAGGCGAAGTGTAGGGCGACCCCCCACGAGATGGAGTGACGACCTGGTAAGGCATGCTGGAAGTCGATGGATGCAGGTGGCTCAGGACCGTGCTTTGTGGCATTCCTAGGGGGATGCCTATGTTCAGCAGTGGACTTGTGAAGGGCTGTAATGATGATGATGATGATGATTTTATTAATATTTTGTAGGTACATTTTATTACTTTACAATTGAGGGTATATCGAGAAACTCCTCACTCGTTAGTGCAATATAAAGTTCACTATAGGCACCGTGCGCGGAGATTTCGCCTAAGTCTTTCTATGTAGTAGTAGTGCTAAGATATTGTCGTGATTCTGTCTGTTGTGGTGGTTCTTCTGTTGCAGGCAAGGAAGATGGTGTCGAGGCTGTTCTGTGTTACATTAAGATGTGCAATGTTTCTGTTGCTTTGGTGTTATCATGTAACTACGTCCCTCACGTTTACACTAGTGTGCAATTATGACGGGGGCATATTACGCTATGGTCGAACTGTCATTGCTCCATAGTATACTGAATGTATAGTGCGTTACGCTGCCTTTTTACTGATTTAATCACAAAATCAAGAGAACAAGTCGAACATCCGCTCTCACACTTCTATTATTTTTAACAAATAATCTTTCTGATATTTTCCTAACATTTCTGACATCAGAAGTGTAATTCTGTATCGAAGTTCCAACATTAGTATTTACATGTCGTTCGTATAGCGGTCCCGCAGGAGTAGTAAGAGGCAACAGAGAGAAACTGAAACAAAAGATGGGCAACAGCATCTTCCTGGTAACAACTCAATATTATAAAAACTGCGGTTGCCAACCTGCCAACTAAGCCAAAGGCTGACAACCTATGACTTAGTAGATTTTTATAGGCTAATGGATGAATGAAGTATTGAATACCAGTTAGCACATTATTAGAAATGTATGAAAATTATGTATGAAATCAATGTTGTTTTTTTTTCCTCATTTATTCAAGTTCAACAGTATTAATATTAAAAGAGAAAAGCAAGATCGGATAAAAAGACGCAACATCCGACGGGGAGAAAAAGTTCTCACGTGATAGCTTGTATTTTCAATTGTGATTTGGATAAACCAACACGTGTTTAAATGAAACAAATGACAATAATCACAAGTATAAATTATATCATAGTTTGTAGCTTCCTGGTCGTTACTCAATACAGACTGTCTACTCTAGACCTAGACGCAGATTGAGGCGATAGATGTCTAAGAGCCGTGCTCTGTGGTCATTAATGTAAAAAACTTTCAACTACAGACTTTTCGTGTATAAATAATTACAGATATTATCAATTGTAAATAGTTACTAGGCGCGGAGTGCGCGGCGCCGTCGCTCTGCAGTATCGCCTGCATGTCCTGCAGGAAGGAGCGCTCGAACAGGTCCCACATGTAGTTGCTGGAGTAGATCTCCTTCATCTCTACCTCCGTATCAATGTAGCAGTGGTTCAAGAAACCAACGTACGCTTCCTTCACCTAAAATCCAACAAAGTTTATTTAACACTCAAAAATCTTTATTATCAATAAATTAAAACGCGAATGGACTGGACGTAGCTCTTAAAAATGTTTTATTTTTATTTTAATAAGTAAATTAAGTGAAAACTTCTTTAGGCGCGTTGGACGTTTTTTGAATGGGTAAAATCTTGTGAGTTTGCGTCACCGACATGCTAATGTTAACAGTACTCGTTTATCTGTAGCTATAAGTATGACGCGTTGCACATATGATATACGCGCTGGTGGCATTTTACATATTACATTATTTTAAACCAGTGTTATTACATAGTTTTAAGTTTTCACTTCTATCAACAATCTCTAATGACTGCATATCTTTATTTGTTTTTTTTTCGTGTAAGAATCAATATTGTTATCAGCGTTGTTACACCATGTCGACTAATAAAATACATAGTTACCACAAATAATTGCCTATGGTTCTTGTTACTCATCATACGGAACACACTTATGCTGTAATTTCACGCTGGTTATACCGGATGACTTTTTTTACCATCTGGAAAAAATTGGATGTAACAGGTGAACGGGGTAGAAAGAAGTCTATGGCACAAATATTTTACATTTATTTTAAATGTCAAAATAGGAAATCATTATTAATTATTTATCAAATAAATTCTACTAATTTGAAGTTAACTTTCCGTACTAAGCAAACAAAACAAACATTTTGAAATAAATCTATTAAAAACTATCGAAATTCAAATCATACGCACCCTACTTTACGAGCGGCAATAATATAAATGAATTTGTAAGGCGATGCTATATATTGAGAACAACCGACACTCGACGTATCCGCGGTAGGCCGCTTTGATGTGCTTTAGCAGGCGCAAGTGCTGTCCGCACATACCCACCTGCGCTCCACGCTCTCATTTCAGTTTTCAGTCACATGCATTTAGCGAAGGCGTGACGTTGTATTATTTATGTTTCCGCGTGTGCATCGGTCGCCCGCTCTTAGTAGTTATCATGTACCAATACTCTAACGTCGAGTAAGATTTCATGTCTTGTTTAGTGAAAACTTAGATAATGCGAGACGAATGTACGCAAAAGAAGAAACCTACAATTATTGCGCAGGGACAGTATCCCTGCTCCTCAAATTCCCAGCACTGATTTAATATTACGGACGTATCAGGGCTTATTAGATCATGGCCAGTTCCGGCTTCCCAGTTATGCCAGAGGCAAGAAGCTGGCCACCCTTGTCTAGACACATTGAAGACGCCATGTTGGACTACTTCCAACGACACCCGCGAAGGAGCACCCGGCAAGCCGCTCGTAATTTGGCATAAGCCAGTGTGTGCTATGGAAGCTACTTCATTAAATAAATATACATTATCCACACCATTTCTCATGCGTGCAAGCAAGCTTTGCATGCGCCGGACCCCGGACCACACAAGGAGTTTTCTCGTTGGTTGTAGGACCATGCGCAGGCTCCCCCCCCCGAAAAGGGGGGCTTAGTAGCCGTGGCTTGGTCACCCGCGGTGAACAAATAGGAACCCATTGGCTGGCCCGGGGTGGCCACTCCGAGTGGGCTTATCGAGCCCACTTCGGATGTGTGTCAGTGGGCTGCTGCGAGAGGGGTGTCATCTCCCCCTACCACTGCAGCCGAGATGCAGTCGCGAAGGAAGAGGAGTGTTGGTATGGCGATGCGCCAGTCGCCCTATCCTCTACGACTGTGACGGGGCCGCACCGTTAATTGATGCGGTGGTAGTGGGGCTGCGTTGGGAGAGGAGTGTCGGTCGAGGCGCCGCTCTCCCTACCCTCCGCAGCCGAATCTTGGTTGGCGGCGGAGCCATAGACCAGATCCGCTGCTGGGTCAGGAAGTCTGTTGCTTCTGAGTGCTAGTTTTTCCTGGCCCCATGGCCTTCTCGCATCGGACACAGGGGCGTCCGTTGCGCATGTGAAATTGGAGGCCAAGGAGGAGGGCGCGACATGTGTTCTGGTGCGCCTTGCCTGAGAAGGAGATGGGGAGGAGTAGTCCTCTCCCGAGGAGAGGCCGCCATGGGGCGGCCAGCGCAGGTGGGGTCGCGGATGTGTGCAAAAGCGTTCCCGTGGTCTTGCCAATATGCGACGAAGGTGGAACACCATGGGCTTTTAGTCGGTGCGAGTCCGACATAAACCGTCCGTGCATTCGCGAGGCGGGTATGCGTAGCCATTTCCCCATGTAAAAAAAGTCCAATATGGATTGAAGGTCGATTGATGGGAGTAACGTATTTGCACATGATACGTTCCGTCATCAATCCAACGTTGTAAAACGTTTTTCCTATCTGATAGATGTATAGGCAGGCCTCCGTCACTCGCTCAAGGCCCTGCGTTATATGCCTACCGTTCGGCGTACCGCCCACGATACAACCAATATTAGGCTGTCGCACGCCCGCCTGAGCGCTTGCACCGCGCACGTTTCCCGCGTTTACTCGTCGAAATGCCGAAACCACGTAATTAATGTGCAGTGGATGGGTATCAGAGTCAAAAAATAAATGAAAAACTGTCATTTTTTTCTTAACTATAAGATTACATCGAAACAACAGCATAACAGTGCTGTGATTTATAAATTGAGTGACAACCTGGACACCCAAATTTTATAATATATTATATAATAAGTCTTAAATAATTTTGACAACGCCATAATGAAATGCCGTGTAGTGGCGGTTAAGAATATCCACTACCCCATATCTTCCCGTGGGTGTCGTAAAAGGCGACAAAGGGAAACAGGCAGGAGATGGGCAGCAGCATCTTCCTGGTAACGACAAAATACAATAAAAAACTGCGGTTGCCAACCCGCTCGCCAAGCGTGGCAACTATGGCAATATACCCCCCATAATGAAGGTTACGAAGAGACGGCCCCCAGTCCCCGGCGGCCCCGCTATTCCTGGCTACGGTGGCGACCATGGTAACGGCGGGGCAGGGGGTGCTAAGAATCTCCGGTGGAGGTTCGGTTGCCACCTACAACGACTCGACCTGGCAACATACAACGCACGCACCCTGAGGACTGACGAGAAGATTGTGGAGCTGGAAGAAGAGATAGACAAGTTACGCTGGCATATTATAGGATTATCCGAAGTCCGAAGAGAGGGGGAGGACACGGTAATCCTTGAATCCGGCAACTTGCTCTATCACCGGGAGGGCGACCATCTGTCCCAAGGAGGTGTCGGATTTATCGTCCACAAGTCTCTCGTTAACAACGTTGTAAAGATTGAGAGTGTGTCGACGAGGGTTGCGTACCTTATACTCAGAATCACCAAACGGTATTCGCTGAAGGTCATACAGGTTTACGCACCAACCTCGGCACACCCCGATCAGGAGGTGGAGGAAATGTATGAGGATATCTCTAGAGCCATGCATTCCTCCAAAACCCAATATACGGTGTTAATGGGAGACTTCAATGCAAAACTAGGCACAAGAGAGAACGGTGAGCTGAAAGTGGGGAAATTTGGAATAGGGCAACGGAACCCAAGGGGCCAGCAGTTGGCCGACTTCATGGAGAAAGAGGGACTCTTTATGATGAACTCTTTCTTCCAGAAGCGGCCCCACAGGAAGTGGACCTGGTCGAGCCCCGACGGTTCGACAAAAAATGAGATTGACTTCATTATGACGACCAGACGACAACTGTTCAGTGATGTCTCAGTGATCGCGAGGGTGAAAACCGGCAGCGATCACCGAATGGTTAGAGGCACACTGAACCTAAACGTTAAGTTGGAGAGGTCTCGTCTAATGAAGTCAACGCTCCGTCCCCCTCGTGCTCTAATCCAAAGTCCCGAAACCTTTCAGCTCGAGTTGCAAAACCGTTTTCAGTGCCTAGAAGACTGCAATGAAGTGGACGATTTGAATGACAAGCTCGTGGAAACTGTCCATGCGGTCGGAGCTAAGTTCTGCAAGACCCGCCGCAGAAGAACACAAAAACTCTCCGATCACACTCTTAATCTCATGGCTGTTAGACGGGAGATGAAGCTACATTCTTCAACAGATTTGACAGCATACAGGCAACTGAACAGACAGATCTCCAAATGCATGCGGCGGGACTTACGCAACTTCAATACAGCTCGTATTGAAGAAGCGATCGAGCGGAACCAAGGCTCCAAAGTCTTTGCCAGAGATCTGTCTGCCAGAAAGAGCCAACTGTCAAAGCTGAAGACCGAATGTGGCAGCATCGTTTCCGGGGCACCTGAGATTTTGAGTGAGATTGAGAGGTTCTATGGGCAGCTGTACACGTCATCGTTGAAGCCACACGCAAGTGTGAGTAACGATCCAAGAGCGAGTCTTATCCGACATTATTCCGATGATATCCCGGACGTCAGTCTGAGCGAGATTAGAATGGCTCTCCAGCACCTTAAAAACGGCAAGGCCCCAGGCCAGGATGGAATTACAGCGGAGCTTCTGAAAGCGGGTGGAAAACCGGTACTTGAAGTCCTTCAGAAGCTCTTTAATTCCGTCCTCCATGGTGGCATTACACCGGAGGCGTGGAGCAGAAGTGCGGTGGTCTTGTTCTTCAAGAAAGGCGACAACGCTCTCTTGAAGAACTACAGACCGATTTCCCTTCTGAGCCGCGTCTACGTGCTGTTTTCGAGAGTCATTACGAATCGTCTCGCGCGCAGACTTGACGACTTCCAGCCTCCCGAACAAGCCGGTTTCCGAAAAGGCTTTAGCACCTTAGACCACATACATACCCTTCGGCAAATTGTACAGAAGTCCGAGGAGTACAATTTGCCACTATGTCTGGCGTATGTGGACTATGAGAAAGCCTTTGATTCCGTCGAAATTTGGGCGGTGCTGCAGTCCCTTCAGCGATGCCAAGTTGACTGTCGGTATATCGAAGTGTTGAAGTGCTTGTACAGTAGGGCTACGATGGCTATCCGAGTACAGAACCAGAGTACGAAACCTATCCAATTGCAGAGAGGTGTAAGACAGGGTGACGTCATATCCCCGAAACTCTTCACCGCTGCATTGGAAGATGTTTTCAAGCTTCTGGACTGGAAAGGATACGGTATCAACATCAATGGCGAGTACATCACTCACCTTCGATTTGCCGACGATATAGTCCTTATGGCAGAATCGCTGGAGGACCTAAGCACTATGCTCAATGACCTCAATAGTGTTTCCCAACGGATAGGTCTTAAGATGAACATGGACAAAACAAAGATCATGTTTAATGTCCATGTCACACCTATGCCGGTAGTTGTTGGGAACACTAAGCTCGAAGTTGTTGACGAGTATGTTTACCTGGGACAAATAGTCCGACTAGGTAAGTCCAACTTCGACCGAGAGGTCAATCGACGGATTCAACTCGGTTGGGCAGCGTTCGGGAAATTACGGCACATCTTCTCGTCAGGTATACCTCAAAACTTGAAAACGAGACTGTACACCCAGTGCGTGTTGCCAGTGATGACATACGGAACTGAGACGTGGTCCTTCACTGCTGGCCGGATGAGGAAGCTCAAGGTCGCTCAGCGAGCTATGGAGAGGGCTATGCTCGGAGTTTCTCTGCGTGATAAACTCAGAAATGAGGATATCCGCAGTAGAACCAGAGTGACCGACATAGCCCAACGGATTAGTAAGCTGAAGTGGCAATGGGCCGGCCATATAGCTCGAAGAACCGACAACCGATGGGGAAGAAAGGTTCTCGAGTGGCAGCCTCGTACCGGCAGGCGAAGTGTAGGGCGTCCCCCCACTAGATGGAGTGACGACCTGGTAAGATTTGCAGGAAGTCGATGGATGCAGGTGGCTCGGGACCGTGCTTTGTGGCATTCTTTGGGGGAGGCCTATGTTCAGCAGTGGACTTGTGAAGGGCTGTAATGATGATGATGATGATAATGAATCGGCCTGGCAGCAGCGTGTTACAAATTTTACAAACGATTGATTTTCCTCCGCTTTGCACCTGTTTTCTTCATAATTATTTATTAAAATTATTTACGCGATTTAGGATATTTTCAACGATAAGACTTAATAACCGAGAATTCAGAGAAGGAAATAAATGTATAAATCATTTTATAAAACTCAAACATATTTGATTGACAAATAAAAATATGGTTATTTCGCAAGATTCGTTTTATCACAATAATCATCATAGGTACCTAGCACATTCGTGCGATGACGCGCTTGCACGTCAGTCGCACGGCGGTCAACACAATCTCGACTCTTTATGCGCGTACTTATGGTACATTTTCTTCTCGCTCCGAACAGCAGATATTTTTATTAAGATTTTGTAGGCTATTATAGCGTAGGTATTTTCTCTTTTGTATGGGAGTGATGTATCTGTTTAGTAAACTATTAAGTATTTTGGTGATGGTACTTAAAAAGGTGACGTCTTTTGTTGTAGATTGTGAACCCACTTGTAAGATTGAGAACTCTTTAATGTAATAAATATTTACTTGTCACTCCCATGACTGACTTGACACTGACAGAATTCTATCAAGAGAAGCCATAATTTAAAAGAAGAAGAAGAACTATTAACTAATCTGTGGTATAGGTCGTTGTGGACCTGTGAACTGGCCGGCAAGATCACCAGACCTAACACCTTTAGACTTTTATTTGTGGACCGAACTAAAACGATTAGTGTACACAGAAGAAACACAAAGTTAGTGATTTAAAGCCGCTCATAATAGACCTGAGATTTAATGGGATAATTAGTGATTTAGACACGCTTCGAAGTTCAACAAACACTTTACAAAGACGTGGTAATTCATGTTTAGAAAGAAACGGAGGACATTTTGAACAATTACTGCGATATAATTATAAAGCTTTTTTTTTGTAAATAACAATAATGCAGTAAAATTTTGTAAAATATCAACCAGTGAAGTTTGTAAATAAGTTGATTTCGATCTTTTAAATACGCCTAAGATGATGCAATATACGGTAGGCATAAAAATTATTATTAGAAACCGTTTATAAATTCATTATAGATTACCACTTTCATTCATTTTTTCATTCATTAATATCACCTATTTTTAATTTTACGCAAATGCCCTAGGATGAATTGTTTTTATGTATTTTTTGGATATTTGGAAATTTTGCCTACCAGTTCCGCTAACACAAAATACCATATAATTTTCCAGACGGTAAAAAAAGTCACCCAGTGTATGCGAGTGTGTGGTCCTTCCCATTTCGAGTCGACCCATTTGTGATGTGCATAAGAACTAATTATTAACGTTATTACCTCTGGTATGCAGTCAGGATGCGTGATCATTGCCACGATGTCGTCTAGCGGTAGAAGGCTGTGGCACTTAATCTCCGTGTACACGTTCTTGCCTAATGTACAGCACGTCAGTAACTTAACGAGTTGTATGTGGTACCTAAAATATACCATTAATAATCAGCAAAGTAATGTAATGCAAAGAGTCCTGCTATTAAACAAGAGCATTTATAAATTTGGAGGGATTTCCTATAATGGCCTATGGACAGGACGGATTTCATTAATTTGATTTTTATAGCATCGTTTGAGATGCTTATTTTGCTATCTGTCAGATGTCGTATGTTTTATCTGACCCGTCGACGCTTAGACGACTTTTTCGACATTTACAGCAAGGCATAATATTCGTTAATTCTCATGGTTAATCATTGTAAATTATTAGTTTTAATAATTATAAACATTTTAAATATGTCAAAAGATGTTTTACTGAAAATATTATGTAAGAAATGTTTAAGCTCAGATGATAACGAAGCGTTTTGGTTGTTTCATCGCACGTGCCACACCTTCCCTTGAATATCTCATACATGAATATGTTTTGGATCAATAATTATTACAAATTAAACGTTTTTACTAAGCTATACACATTTTTGTTGTATTGGGTTTTGATTTCTTAATCAACAAATAAAACAACAAAAATTATTAGATTATTAAGTGATGGCTCATCAAATGATTACAACTTGTACGGTTGTTAAATTAACTTATTTTTTGATAATATTAAATTTTTATATTGTTATAATTCCATAAAGCACATGAACATTATGCGCGATATTAGGAAATTCATTCAGGACCAAACAATAACCTTATCAGCCCAAATTGAGACCTTTGTTTCATTGATATTGGGCGTAGATGAGAAATAATAATGGTCTCGAGAAAAAGCCATGCGGTACAATAGAGACCAATTTAGTTGATTTTTGAATCCCCCAATTTTGTTAATATATTCAATGATTTTTATATTTACGCGAATACGACACGTAAAATTAAACGTTATAAAATACGTAAAATTAGTTTTATTCTAGCTTATACTATCTTACAACACCCGCGTCACGAAATAAGTAATAGTTTACACTTTCACTAAAGTGCATGTAACTATGAGTTTACGAATACTAATCAAATTAATATTCTAATTAAGATTCAATAATCTTAAAAAATAACATATTTTATAAAACAAAATGTTGTACCTTAAAGCTTCAGGCATCTCATTCGTTTGCTTGTACTGACGCATCATTTGTATGAAGTAGTTGAATGAAACTTTGTCGTTGTAAAATACTAGTACGTCTTCACCCGCGTTTACCATCTAAAAGAGAAAACAATCATTAATAATTAGTTTCATAGCTGTTACTTACGATATTAACTGCTAACTTAATGGAATTAAGTGGATGTGCTGGCCTGCTGCGCGCACGATGTGCGTACCTCCTGCATGACGAGGTCCTGGCTGCGGCGGATGTGCTGGCCTGCTGCGCGCACGATGTGCGTACCTCCTGCATGACGAGGTCCTAGCTGCGGCGGATGTGCTGGCCTGCTGCGCGCACGATGTGCGTACCTCCTGCATGACGAGGTCCTAGCTGCGGCGGATGTGCTGGCCTGCTGCGCGCACGATGTGCGTACCTCCTGCATGACGAGGTCCTAGCTGCGGCGGATGTGCTGGCCTGCTGCGCGCACGATGTGCGTACCTCCTGCATGACGAGGTCCTAGCTGCGGCGGATGTGCTGGCCTGCTGCGCGCACGATGTGCGTACCTCCTGCATGACGAGGTCCTGGCTGCGGCGGATGTGCTGGCCTGCTGCGCGCACGATGTGCGTACCTCCTGCATGACGAGGTCCTAGCTGCGGCGGATGTGCTGGCCTGCTGCGCGCACGATGTGCGTACCTCCTGCATGACGAGGTCCTGGCTGCGGCGGATGTGCTGGCCTGCTGCGCGCACGATGTGCGTACCTCCTGCATGACGAGGTCCTGGCTGCGGCGGATGTGCTGGCCTGCTGCGCGCACGATGTGCGTACCTCCTGCATGACGAGGTCCTAGCTGCGGCGGATGTGCTGGCCTGCTGCGCGCACGATGTGCGTACCTCCTGCATGACGAGGTCCTAGCTGCGGCGGATGTGCTGGCCTGCTGCGCGCACGATGTGCGTACCTCCTGCATGACGAGGTCCTAGCTGCGGCGGATGTGCTGGCCTGCTGCGCGCACGATGTGCGTACCTCCTGCATGACGAGGTCCTAGCTGCGGCGGATGTGCTGGCCTGCTGCGCGCACGATGTGCGTACCTCCTGCATGACGAGGTCCTGGCTGCGGCGGATGTGCTGGCCTGCTGCGCGCACGATGTGCGTACCTCCTGCATGACGAGGTCCTAGCTGCGGCGGATGTGCTGGCCTGCTGCGCGCACGATGTGCGTACCTCCTGCATGACGAGGTCCTGGCTGCGGCGGATGTGCTGGCCTGCTGCGCGCACGATGTGCGTACCTCCTGCATGACGAGGTCCTGGCTGCGGCGGATGTGCTGGCCTGCTGCGCGCACGATGTGCGTACCTCCTGCATGACGAGGTCCTGGCTGCGGCGGATGTGCTGGCCTGCTGCGCGCACGATGTGCGTACCTCCTGCATGACGAGGTCCTAGCTGCGGCGGATGTGCTGGCCTGCTGCGCGCACGATGTGCGTACCTCCTGCATGACGAGGTCCTAGCTGCGGCGGATGTGCTGGCCTGCTGCGCGCACGATGTGCGTACCTCCTGCATGACGAGGTCCTAGCTGCGGCGGATGTGCTGGCCTGCTGCGCGCACGATGTGCGTACCTCCTGCATGACGAGGTCCTAGCTGCGGCGGATGTGCTGGCCTGCTGCGCGCACGATGTGCGTACCTCCTGCATGACGAGGTCCTGGCTGCGGCGGATGTGCTGGCCTGCTGCGCGCACGATGTGCGTACCTCCTGCATGACGAGGTCCTAGCTGCGGCGGATGTGCTGGCCTGCTGCGCGCACGATGTGCGTACCTCCTGCATGACGAGGTCCTGGCTGCGGCGGATGTGCTGGCCTGCTGCGCGCACGATGTGCGTACCTCCTGCATGACGAGGTCCTGGCTGCGGCGGATGTGCTGGCCTGCTGCGCGCACGATGTGCGTACCTCCTGCATGACGAGGTCCTGGCTGCGGCGGATGTGCTGGCCTGCTGCGCGCACGATAGTGCGCAGGAACTGCAGGTAGGCGGGGCGGCGGCCGCGCGTCTCGATGCAGTGCACGAAGTGTGCGGCCACTTTCTCGTTGCCCTCGTGTGCGCACAACGCAGGGTTGTCCTCGAAAATAGCGCACACGGTCTGCGCCTCGCGGATCTATTCACACAAATAAAAAATACGCATTAAGAATATTCCTGATTTCAGTTCCGAATTCCGATATTTATATTTAAATCATATCATATCCAAAAGTAGATTAGTAATTAAAGGCTGATAAGAAAGAAAAGAATTAAATTGTAGTTGAATTTAAAATAACTCACTCCAGCGTTGAGAAAAAGGTCGAGGTGCTTGTGCAGTATGGCCTGGTTCTGTTGGTTGCCATGACAGAAACGCTGCAGAAACTCGTGCGCCAGGGCTAGCAGCTCGTCCATCGCTGCATCGTCTTCGTCGTGGGGTACCTTAGAGACAAGGCTTGGAGGTTAGTCACTATCATCCAACCATGAAGACTTTTTATAGAAGATTAAGAACTACTGCCGACCATCAACTGAAAAAAAATCCACTACTGAACAAAAAAGACTATATTCAGCAGTGAATTTTGATAGACTGTGATTATGATGATGATGATAATGATGATGATGGTTGTGGTGGTGGTGCTGTTGGTGGTAGTGGTGGTGGTAGTGATGATGATGATGATGATGATTAAAATACAGACAATACCTGCAAAAGGTCAAGCACGATGTTGTGCACTCCAATATTGCGCAGTAAGCGTTGCTCGTGGCGTCGTGGCTTGCCGGTTCCACTCGCTTCGCCCGCCCCACTGTTTCCTTGAGTGCAATACTTGATCATGCGCTCCAGGATCTGGAATTAGATATTTTTTTTATGTATTTTATATTACGTTTATTATTAATCTTCAAACCCTAGAATTTAAAATAACTTCAATAAGTTTCAATAAGAAATTTAATGCGGCAATTCTAAATTGCTATATGTTGGCGACAATGGAATTGTAGTAATCAATGTAACACTTATTTTAGTTTTTACCACGGTTTTATTCACTAGCTTACGTGTATGTCTGTTGGGGTTGAATTTAGTAATGAATTTCAAGAGGCTGATCCTTAAGAAACGCGCAAATAGGCAGTTACTGACTTCATTGAATGACACCACAAAAAATCTCAATTGGTTAAGATGAGACTTCACTTTCAGTGATATATATAAAAAAAGCTTGATTTTCGAGAAAAAAAAATCGTTAACAATGGTAAAAACACTTAAAACGGCCTTTTCTATTTTAAATTTCTAGACTATTTCGTTATTATTTTAGAAAACGTGAAATAAAAGTATAGATAATACATTCACCATTCATTTTTTTACTAATTCAAACCAAAAAAAACAATAATCTAAGCCCAAATATCATTCATTTTTTAGCAGAAATCATTCCCCGCTTTCCATACATTTTAGTATGAAGCGGTTATCTTTCCGTGATTCACTTTATATTAGAGAACACGTGTGAAAAAAATTCAGTGCCGTCTTAATTTTCAAGGTGATTGCACGTCCGTTCGTAGTCCGATTTGACTAGTCGAGTCGATACATCTATTGTTTGACATAGCATAAGGTTGGGTCTTACTAGGTATGTGAGTTTTATTATGTATTGCTTTTTGTAATTATCAGAAATTAACGTACTTAATAAAATAATAATTTATTTTAATATCATTTCAGGTAGATAATATGAGAAAACGCAAAGAAAGTTATTAGAATTAAAAATAAAATTAATAATGTAAGCATATGAACCACTCGGAAACTCGCTAAGCAGGCAGTTTTGTTTTAAGACTACTCAATCGGTGCAGTGAGTGAATTGTTGATCGGTGGGTTACCCTCTGTGGGGTCCACCCATTGTGATATCAATTCAGACCTTCTAGAACAGTCCCGTCCTAATTGACTCGTCGGGTTCTTTGTTTAGGTTACCATCCGATTACGATGACGTTTAGGTAATTTTAGTAATACCTTATGCCGAGGTTATTAGTGCAGTAGTTAATTTAGATTATCAGTTTTCCCGTCCTCTAATGTTATGGCTTTTCATTATAACTACTTGGAATATTAGAATGACTTATAACGTGACTTTATATATGCATTTTAGATTTAATATTAGGTTTTATTTATTATTAGCCTAGATACGTTCCGTATTTTTGAAAAAATAATAAAGAGTTTACCGCGCCACTGCGGCGTTAATTGTCATCAGATCATCTCTTACCTCTTTGATCTTATTGTACTCGTTCATATGGTCGTACTTGGTGGTCCTCGACGTATCTAAAACGTTATCGAGTGACGCGTTCCGTTCTAAGACTGCTCCTCCGGGTCCAAGGGTGCCCTTTATGTCTGAAAATTATATGGACACATTAGAACTACATTAAACGCAGTTATTAATACAAATTAATAAACTGAATTTGGTGTGGAGTTTTCAAAACAGTGCGGTTAGGTTCCATGCTAGGGCCATGTTAAGGCCGTGGATAATAAATGGAAATATTTAGATTGAAGAATATAAGAATTTTATAACTGTAGCATCTAGTTAAGTTCTTCATCTACATATTATTTACTAGACTCCACCGATAGTCAGTAATTCATTCTTGAGGCGATGTATATACTCTTTAACAACAAAAGCCCAGAAAATATGCAAAATTTGACCAGCTCAAAATTCAAAAACTTTATTAAACTGAGTTTGTGTAAAATGGGTTATAATAACCATCATTAAGTAATTTATGGATGATAATAACCCCTGGGAGTGAAGTTATGGCTGCCAAGCTATTTCTAATTTGTGTGTTGTTAATTGTGTAACATACTTGATTGTTGGCTGTTATTTTTTTATATTCCCGTTGGATTTCTTGCTGGTTTTTCCCAGGACAGAGATTTTTTTTCCGAACCAGTGGTAATTAAACAAAAAAGTAACTTTCAATAAGTATTATTTATAATCTATATTGAATAAAAAAGTTTCTTTTCTGTTTGTATTGCTATAAATATGAGCTAGTAGTATAAATTTCCGACTGTTAGGCATTTCATGTACTGCGCCCCCTTTTCCTAAAGGGGGTCGCTTCCGATTCGGCAGAAAGGTCATACAGACCAAAGCCAGTCACAGGTGGTGTTTAGTGGGTAGGCACATAGGTTCCATAGTGAGTCCCACATAACCACGCAGCCGGCTGCGTGGTATGCTTAGAGCATTCACCACCTTCCTCCCCCGCTTCCCGAAGGGTAGCCCTTTACTAGAAAAAAAACTAGAAATGGCCGCACCTGTGGTTTTCTTTGCTTAAATGACTTGTAAGTGTCAGTCAGTCAGTCAGTCATGTGATTCAGTAGACGCTTACACTCCATCAGGTGCACTGATAGAATTATACACAAGCGATCATTTCGAGAGGAGTTGTTATTTAAAATTGTACTGTAAGTGGACACGTTAAGTTTCAATTTATAATGTGCTAATTTCGTGTGGTAGCTCAGGGGCTGTTTGGATCAACCCCACTACCAACCGCATTACTTTATCAATATTCAGTGCTGAATTACTACGTGCTTATTGGGTGAGGTAAAATTTCGAGGACTTGTAAATTCCGCCCACAACATAGTTAAATCTATACCTACACAAATAAAAAAAATTGAAGTGTCTGTTTGTAATATCAAAATAACAGCTTTTTACTAAATGCGTATGAAAGTATATAGTAATTTTTGTCCGATTTTGACGGGTCTTTCACTAAGACTACTTTTATATTAGAAAAATAATTAGGGTTCCGGATAAAAAACTTAAAACCCATGAAATACAATCGTAATAAATGCCACGCAGGTGAAATCGTGGAGAAAATCGCGTTTGAATACATATAAATAATTAAAGTGTCTGTCTGTAATATTGAAATACTATAAGACATAATTAACCATTTTTAAAATTTCTGTCCGTCCATTGTGATGAAAGTTTACGGACAGATAAAGAGAAATGCAAAGAGGGGTCTAGGCTATATTATATCCGAAATACTTACGATTTTTTGAAATAAAAATTGATAAAATAAATGGTACTTGATATCTTAAATCTATAAAACGCCACATTAGAAGATCAATTCGAAGCTTTTACGGGTCGCTAGTTATAATCTCCTCTATGTAAACAATTTTCTTACCGCTATGATCATCGAGTGCGCCAGCGCGGCCCTTGTTGAACACCCACAGCTCGGACTTCTCCACGCTTTGCCGCAACACATCCAGGTCTGCTTTGATTTGTTTGTACGACTCTACGTCTGCGTCCGATACCAGCAGTTGCACCTGTTAATAATGCCAACGCTAAAGATCTGTCAATGATATTATACACGTTTTGGAGTCTTCTAGCATTATATTATTTCAAATTTTTTTTCGTTGTTCGAGTGTAAAAGTCTTCAGCTGCACATGAATATCTCCTCTCTCGTAGCTAGAATTTGGCAGGAAGATTGGTGAATTCGGCTGCTAAAGCCTAGCTACGTGTTATTTATTGCAATTTGAGATGTCTCGCACTTTTGACGCTGCTACCCGTCGCTGGTCTGAGTAACTATTGTCTGGCGTAAAGATGGATATGTTTCTATTGCTAACCACGAGATTTCTCCAGCATTTCCATAGTCGCCTCTTACGACATCATGGGCTTGAATGGTGTGATGGATGTTCTTACACTGTTTTAGTTTTTGGAAACTATTGTTGGCATTTCCTTTTTTTTATTAAATGATGCCAATTTTATATTATGTTATATATCACTTACTTGTTTAAAAGCTGCAAGCACCTCCTGCCTCTGACTGAAGTGTCGAAAGAGAAGGGCTAAAGCTCCAGACACCAGGGCAGCCGAAGCCCCTTGAGAGCAAAGTTGTAACAGAACTCGCAGGACCATACGACCGCCGCACTCGTCGAGGTCCAATCCGTCCCTGGGCATATCACCTTATTATGATAGCAGTAGAGTTTAATTTAAACTGATATGTAAACACTTATAAAAGTGAGTGTATGAAGAAAAATAATAGCGAAGTAATATAAAGTCCATCCATTTTGTTAATTTAAGTTTAATTTTACTAAATATTTTTCGTTAAAAATGAATAGACCTTTTATAAAACGCAAAGAAAAATAGCAAATTTTATGAAGCTTGTGAAAACAAAATGGCATCACTGTTGACTAGCTTCAAAGCATAATATTAATGAAATTATCATGTGTTGGGTGTTCACATATTTTTCTAATAAACCAAAGTCCACACAAATATGCGCTAACATACATACAAAACACACACACACACACGCACACACACAAAGACGTAGCACACTTGTACGAGCATCATATTGATATAGGATAGAAACAATCTATATTAGTGTAAATCACATTAAATAAACACACATATTATGAACGATTATATTTAATTTGTGGTTTGTGATTAGTGTTTTGTTATTATTAGGATTTAAAAGCGTCAGGTATGTTTTAAAAGCATAAAACTTTATTTAGTATTATTAGTGCAAAGCCCCATGCCTATAGCAAGGCACTAGCTAACACTCGGCAGGATCATGCATTGTATTGTTCATCTTACTAACAAATCTACATTTTTTGGAAGGCAGTTGTCAGGCACAGTCTGTATCGCTCTGAAATATAAGATACAATTCAGAAAAGGAGTAGGCAGAAATAGTAGTTCTCCTGCTGTAGAAGCATCAGATTTGTTAATGTATAATAAATAATAATGTACCACCACCATTGAAGAAATTCATAGTAAAAAACTTGAAAAAATGAAAAAGTTTTCAACTTCATTTTATTACTAAAACCCAGCGCGGTTGGACCTATGTATACTACTTACTTTACTTCGAAAAATATAAAAGATTTTAACAGAAACTAATACGCATTTCTGGATTCAGTGTGTCTAAAATGATCGTTGTAACCCTTATGGAATGTAATCTTATAGAATAAACTAAAAAAAGTTTGGATATTTATTTTACTAACACTTTTTTGGACTAAAGGTACGAACGGTGTACTTAATGCCATATGGCATTAATGATAACTGTCATTCACTGCTTAGCAATCTTAATCACTGTTGAAATTGTATATTGATAATATGTTATATGTGGTTGTGACCCAGATGGAACTTGTTATTACATTTAATATTGCTATCAATAAATAAAATTTAAAATGACCAACATACAAATTCTACACTAATTGTCATAAAAGTAACATAATACAGGTATTTTACAATGAGTTTCTGATATAAATATAATTTTCAGTATGTATGTACTATTTTTAATTAACTGCTACATTTTTAAAATTAATAATCTTGATACTGCAAGACCTACGAATTAAAATAATGCTAAGCATAATATGCAATATAAGTAATGACAAAACGCCTTCCTTTCAATATTGTAAATATTTTTATCAACATGCATAGACTTACTATACTAAAATTGAAAGTGATATAGTAGAATTTATAAATAAAAAAAAAAAACCAAACAAAAGAAAATAATGATACAAAAGTACTTCTAAGGCTTATTATTGCAATTTTATACATTTCTCGGATAATATCAATAAAAATTTATACTTTAGTATTAAAAAATTATATATGCCATGCGTTAGTTACAATTGTATAGTATATGAAAACTAATTACACCAACTTTACTGTCCTTAATAATTCAGCAGTTCTTTCTGCAATTATAAATTGTTAAACCTTTCAATAGTAGTTATTTAATTTTTTCTTTAAATATTAATGAAAGAGAATATAAATATTAGTTACCCAAGGTTCCCAGAGCTTAAGTTTAATTTTAAATAGCTTGAATCAAAAACTACTACCATTTTGTTAAAACCAATGACAGAAACAGCTGAAATATCATCCTTACTGGAAATATTTCTATCCAGAATGTTCCACACACTTAACCCTTTAACCCTAATAACATATCAGGTTTAAACTCACCGACAGCTGAATATCCCTTCCGCTTGTAGCCCAATGGCTTCCACGTCAGCTCGTCCAAGGCTGTCAGCTTGCCTTTCACCAGCTTGCTCGAATTCCTTCTTAAAAATTGAAAGCAGGCAGCTGATGCGATAGTCTAGTCGTACGTCCAGGATAAACTGTGTCATTGAAGTAAAAACAAAGATTAAAATAGTTATAATTTACAAAAAAAAAGACAGGATTTCGATTACATTAACGACAGGAGTCGCTTATACTCCATCAATCTAAAAGTCTGCATATTGCACTATAGTTTGTGACTTATGCGATTATTATGGAGTTTACGGCCGTACCAATAACTCTTCAAATTACCTTCCGAGAATACCACTAGTAACTTGTACGTGCTGAAGCCACGCTGCAGCTATATTATGGTTGTAGCATGAATGGGTCGGCTCGACCGGGGAGTGACCACGCTCTCACAGAATACCAGCGTAAAATAGCAGCTCAATGCTGCTGTTTCGTACGGTGAGGGTAGAGAGCCGAAGACCTTTTATACTGGAAATGAGGCATTCCATCTTAGTATTCACGGGTTAGGTTAATTGTAGATGTATATGGGCCACAGCATTCACATTTTCCATCAGGTGGATTGTGTGCTCGTTTATTCTATAGAAAAAACTACCACTAAGGCCGATTTTAGATTCGCGCTGATCGTCAGCGCTGACAACTCAGCGCGTAGCTCGCCAGCGCGTAGCTGTGGGAACTCGTTTTAGTGTTATGCTGACCGCTGCACAGTACAGACATGGCCAATCCCATGAGGGTTAAATTTGCTCAGCGCGTGCGTTTTTCGTGACAGTAACGATAAGTGAACTCGGTAACGCGTCGGCGCCGCGCGCTCAGCGGCGCTGACGCGCGGTGCGTACGGTCGCGTATGGCTCGACGCTGACGGTCGTCAGCGCTGAGTGGTCGGCGTTCTTCTAAAACGCTCCTTAGGCACCCATTCATACTGGCCTGTCAGCGCTGACGATCAGCGCGTCTCTAAAACCGGCCTAAAACTTTTTTACTATATTGTATACTAATAAAGCTACTTATACATTATAGATCTCAGGCGTGGTCCTTCACAGCTGATGGCATGGCTGGCTGGCTATGTTCGGAATTTCTAGAATTCATTATGAGATTATCAAAAAAAAAAATGAGACGTTTATGGACCTAATGCAGTATCAGTAAGAGTAGCACAAAGTTGGTTCAAGCGTTTTCAGTCCGGGAATTTGATGTCAAAGATGTAGCTCGCTCTGGTCGCCCTCTTACGAATAAAGTTGATGCCATTTTTGAAAAAGTGGAGCAAGATCGATGTATTAGTAATTACGACATAGTAGAGGAATTCAAGATTGACCACAAAACAGTTGACCCATTTGAAAAAGTTTTGCCTTTTTTTTTTTTTTTTTTTTTTATAGGAGTGGGGGCAAACGAGCATGCGGCTCACCTGATGGTAAGTGACTACCGCCGCCCATGAACAACCGCAACACCAGGGGAATTGCAGATGCGTTGCCGGCCTTTTAAAAAGGAGTAGGCTCTTTTCTTGAAGGTCCCTAAGTCGTATCGGTCCGGAAAAATCCCTGATGGTAAACTATTCCACAAGGAAGTTGTGCGAGGAAGAAAACATCTTCTAAATCGCACAGTGGTGGACCGCCAATCATCCAGATGGTGTGGATGGTATCGGGAGTTCTGCCGCGATGTGCGTTCGTGAAATTTGGCGGCTGGGATTAATCCGAACAATTCCTCAGAGCACTCCCCATGGTAGATGCGAAAGAAAATGCAAAGAGATGCAACATCTCTTCGCAGTGCCAATGAATCGAGCCGATCGGAAAGGGCTCGGTCGTCGACGATTCGAGCCGCTCTGCGCTGGATGCGGTCAAGTGGAAGGAGCTGGCACTGGGGAGCCCCTGCCCAGAGATGGGAACAGTATTCCATGTGAGGCCGAACCTGCGCCTTGTAAAGTTGCAGGCGGTGTGCCGGCATGAAATACTGTCCCGCTCTGCTGAGCACGCCAAGCTTTTTAGAGGCCAATTTGGCCTTCTCTTCCAAGTGACCACGAAACTGCACGTCACTCGATATGTCGACTCCGAGGATACCGATACTGGCTGAGGCAAGAAGGGGAGTGCCTTGAAACTGAGGAGATACGACAAAGGGGTTCTTTTTAGCGGTAAACGCGCAAACTTGTGTCTTCTGAGGATTAAACTGGACTAGATTTAGTCGCTCCCAATCCGAGACTTTGTCCAGCAAAGACTCGACTTCAGACACAAGTTTGTTCCGGTACTCGGCGACGTTTTCCCGAGAAATATTGGCCCGGCCGGTGTATAGAGCATCACCAGTGCTGTCATCCGCATAGCAATGAATGTTACCAGTTAGCAACATATCATTGATATGCAGAAGAAACAGCGTTGGTGATAGCACACAGCCTTGTGGAACACCAGCGTTAATTTTATATATATACAAAAAGCGCTCGATATTTGGTTACCACACGAGCTCACTGAAATCGAACCATTTTTGAAAAGATTGATCTCTGGTGATAAAAATAGGATCACAGAAAAGTTCATGTTCAAAGGGTAGCCAAGCTCCACAGACTGTAGCGAAACCCGGATTAACACGCAATTAGGTGATGCTGTGTATATGGTTATTGGAAGGGCATCGTTTATTATGAGCTTTTACCGCCGGGCAAACCCATCGATTCGGATCTCTACTGCCATCAACTAATGAGACTCAAGCAAGAAATTAATAAAAAAACGGCTGAAATTGATCAATAGAAAATGGTCTTTCATCACGAAAGACTACACACATCTTTGGTCACTCAGCAAAAATTGAGAGCTTGGTTGGGAAGTGTTAATGCATCCACTGTATAGTCCTGACCATGCACCCTCAGATTTTCACCTGTTTCGGTCTCTTTAGAATTCTTTGAGTACTTACTTGTGTCGGTCGGCCCCATAAAATATAGCTGTACCTGCAATATCTCGATGATCTTGAGCTTGGTGTCCATGACGAGCGGGTGCTTGCGGGCCAGCGCGAGCGCGGAAGGACTGCTTTGCACGCCGCGCCCACTGCCTACCACCTGGGAAAACCGATCGCTATCTAATGCTTTTTGTACTATAGCCAGCTTAATTGTATTGCTAGTTGCAGCGGGTTTTTTAGTAAAAATTAAAAGTTGACAATAAATAAAATAAAATAACTTTTATTAGCAACCAAATTTGTACAGATACAAAGGAGCTCTGTCTTCTGAACTAAGTTATCACCTGTTTCTCAGGAAACAGTGCCTTCCCTAATTCTTAGTTCTAAGTCTATATTCGGTAAGTACATAAGATAATTCATTATTCTTTAATTAATATTATTTTACGGCGGTTACTGCTAGGTAATGTTTTAGTAGTGTTGTATAAGTGGATGTGCGTGTGCGTGCGTTCGTACGTGCGTGCGTGCGTGTGCGTGCGTGTGCGTGTGTATGTGTGTGTGTGTGTGTGTGTGTGTGTGTGTGTGTGTGTGTGTGTGTGTGTGTGTGTGTGGGTGTGTGTGTGTGTGTGTGTGTGTGTGTTTTGTGTGTGTTTAATATTCTCGGTGGTAATTTTATTATAAATGTATATTATAGTGTCGTTGCATAAAGTTTGTTTTGGTAATGGTTATAGGGCACCGTAATTTTCTTTTACTGGCTTGTGGTAGTGAGTAGGTAGTTGCACGGTGATATATCAGGAGTGCTTGAGTTATAAACAACTTGCGAACTGAGAGTACCTGAGTCTCTTTTAGACTTTATTAGTAGGATGTCGGTATGGTAGGTCCATTAATACCTTTAATATTGCTCTTTGCACACGTTCAAATTGATTCATTGTTGTTTTCGCTGCGCCACCCCACGTCGTCACACAATAATTAATGATACTTTATAAGTTGATAAGTTTGAATAAGAATGTTTTTTTTTGTTTCTATATAGGTTTGTGTTTGTTTCCAACTTTGACGATGAAACTGTGTCATCAGCCAATATTAGCACATCCGTAATGGATATTAATGCGTTTGGACGACCTTTAATATACGCCAAGAAGAGAGGCGGGCCTAATGAACTGTCCTGTGGAATACCAAATCCACAGGTTGATCTACCCGCCAAGTAACTTCGGAACCATTGGTGTACATGACCGCGGATACCCAAGCCAACAATAGTATCGGAATTGATACTGTGTCAAAAGCTTTTTTCAGTTCAAGAAAAACTCTTTTACAACTGTTTTTGCAGATCAGCTTCGCAATCAATACGATTTTTTTTCATACCTTCTTCTTTTCTTAAGTATAATGGTCAAACGAAATCGAACAGAACGTATATTTATGTTCCTTTGCAAATACTGTACTCATGTAAAACCGCTTTCTAGCGTTCGCTCTCAAGGTTTCTGTAACATATATTGGTGTACGATACTGATTAATTTTTAAGTGGGTAGTATTTAATTTACTATTTGCGTTGTCCTTATTAAATTATTTTGCAGCTGAGATAACTTTATCCTTTGATATTGTCTTTTTATTTTTTTTTTATTTTAGATTTTTAATTATTTTAATTTTAGATATTTAGATTAGTTTTATATTTTTCTGCCTTAGTATTTACCCTAAACATATCTCTTATCCCTTGCTTTTGTATTTCTACATTTAATACATTACCAATATTTTGGATAATGTTAAATAAATCATTCGCTGTTTCCGTCTTTTGTTGTTTTGATATATTGCGGATCTCTATAGTGGAACATTTTTGAGTTCTCTCCGTGGATTGTATCTCATTTTCGAGTTCACGAATATATTTTAGTTGTTCTCGTTTTTCTGTATCTAGTGCAGCAATTTTTTCCCTTAGCTCATCATATTTACTGCTCATGAATTTCACGCTTGTGTGTAGTTCTTTATATTCGTTACGAAGATCGTTTATAGTCGTAAGAATTGTCTTCATCTTATTATCTTGAGAATCCTTCCAAGAGTTCAGAGTGCTAAGTATATCTACTTTAAATGCCTGTAGCTCCTCTTTGAAGTCATGATCATGTTTACGTTTAGTTGCACGTGTACTCATGTTAGTGGAGAAATCTCCTAGATCAGAATCTTCTTTATAGGTAGAAATGTTGGGTTCGTAGCCACCATGATCCGCCTAAGTGGCCTGTTTATAAAGCAAAAGTTTTAGGGTTTCTTATGATTATAATAAGTATATTATAGTACAAAATCGGCGCAGCGAATACGTATAATATTGTGTGTGCTTATGATGCCCTGGTACTTGTGATCGGTGTAGGCCAACGTGCACCGCCTTTAGTGCGTACGCAGGCACAGTTTGGGCGGGCACATTAGTGGCGTGATGGGCGCTACACCAATGCAGCGTGTACGCAAATCTTATTTCCGTTAGTATGTAGGGGCGGGGTTATATCACATCAGGCAATCTTATTCGCTAATGACTCACGTAACAGGGTTCACGGAGATAATTTATGTTGTTCTTCTTACACTGCCAACTTAGGATACTTCATGCGCGCCTAGTATTCGATATTTTGGTGTTATTTTTTAAACAAAATTAATTAATATTTTAATCAACACGATTCACTATAAACACGTCTGTACTGTACACTGGTTCGGAGGGAAGGAGTAATATACTGATATTATTGCTACGTTTCGTTACAGCAAGTAATTGAAAGAGAATAGTAAAAAATGTTATCCTTTCTTCAACATTAATTTCTTAATATTTATGATGCCATATTATGCAACATTTAAAGACAAAGGAGCCGTGAGAGAAGTTCAGGGGATAAGCACCCGCCACTCGCCTTAATATTTCATAGCACGCGAGCAAACAGATTTCGTACACCATAGAACTATAGATATCGGGAACTTTCTAGAACCTACATATCTGTACCCAACAGTGGGTTGTAGCTTCATTTGGCGGTGTCGTCATATCGACATCATTTAGATATTACTCACACTTCCTCATTCAATTATTACGCTCTTTACGGGCGAAATGCATGGTGGCTTTTTCTTACTCCGCTACCACATAACGTAAATTTACTCGTACATCTAAACTATTTCATTCTAAATGGGCTATTTGTAACATAAAAATATATATAAGAAGCAAACAAGATGGTTTACTCACATTCCGCGCCACGGAGCCTAGCGTGATGGACGTCATAACTGCACCCATATCACCAATGGTGCGCAAAACGCCACCTTCAGCTGCGGTAAGAAAACATTCGCTGATGTTTGTGTTTTATATTTTGTAAGTGCTCACCTCCAGACATAGTACGCGACTAAACCAAGTTACATCTCTGCTGGCACCACAGAAATTATTAATACCGACCTTACTTGAAAAATATTTTATAAGTCTATTTACATAACTTTCACAAACCGCATAATACTAAGATTACATCACGTTTGTGTCATCACAATAACTTAAAAATAAATATAATTTAAAAAAAATCTACAATAAACCCAATAAGTAGCAAGTAGCGGAGTCAGTTCTTAAACACAACAATACAATTTATTGGTAAAAACTTACGTTTCTTTAACTCCATTTCTTGTGCTGCATGCAAATATAAAAATAATAAATTAAACAGCTGTTTGATGGCGGCGACAGAGAAACCATCACTTCCATCAAATCCAGTCTGGTACGTTTCATGAAAATGCTTTTTACGTTTGTTTTTTAATTTTTAGAGAAATTTACAACTTTCGGCGCAAAGTCTGTTTGGTCTGCCAATCACCAAATACTCATCCATCATCATCATCAAAAATTGGAACAAAGTAAATAACAATACACAGATGATTTTTAGAGATATGAGAAATTTAATAACCTAACTCAGCCATCATTTTTCACATTAGACATATTTTTTTTATAGGAGAGGGGGCAAAGGAGAATGCGGCTCACCCGATGGTAAGTGACTACCGCCGCCCATGAACAACTGCAACACCATGGGAACCAGGGGAATTGCAGATGCGTTGCCAGCCTTTTAAAAAGAAGTAGGCTCTTTTCTTAAAGGTCCCTAAGTCGTATCGGTCCGGAAAAATCGCTGGTGGTAATCGATCATAATATAAATTATTTAAAATAAAGCGTTTTAAAACATGTTTAAATTATCATAACTCCTTACACTCGACTTCTCCGGAGAGGGCGCTGGTCTCGTTGATCAGGTCCATGGCGGTAACGCAGTCCAAGATGCTTAGGAGCGTCTTCGTCAATCGAAGCAGATCACTGAAGCTGGTGACCAATTATTAACATCTCTTGAGTTATAGACAAATCTTCTGCCACCAAATTTTTAGGCAAAGTATTTATAACATTAGAACTAAGCTCCAGATCAGCTGGCTGACCACTAATAAGAAACTAAGTCATCTTGCTCCATTACTCTCTCCGATAGGTCCGAACTGTCTGTATTACTTTTTACTTTTGATTTTCTTGACTTTCTGATCTTTCTTTATCAGACTACGTCATAGGGAAAATATTTGCGATAGTTGCCACGCTTGGCAGACGGGCTGGCAACCGCAGTTTTATATTATTTACATTTTTGAAGTTTTTGATTTCTAGTGTATGTACTCATGCGTATGTACAGTGACTCAGTGGTTTCTTTTAATTTTTTTTTGCTTATTTTTTAACTCTCATTTTAATTTCTTTTACTTTTAGGAATATGTGTAGGTTTTTATCCGCATTTTGACATAATGTATTTTTTTTTAAGTTAAAGGTTAGTAACATGATATAAAGCTGAGTCATGGGAAAATTTTTATAACTGTTTAAGAATTCTATGTTTATTATACAGCGGAATAATTAGTAAGCCTAAACACATTAGCCGATGTATAAATCCCTCGCAAGGGCATGAAGCGACGACAGTGACAGTAATGACAGTAGACGTCATCTTTGCATACGAAGGAGCATGATCTAGTGGTCCTAAGCGCGACTGCTGATTATGTGCAGAGTTCGAATCCGGGGTCGGGTCAAAATCAGTTATTGGATTTTTGTATCAAAAATTCTCAGGCCACAGTTCGAAAATTGGCAGTATTTCAACCCCGTATCTTGGACACTTAAAGACGTTGGGTCCTGTTTGATCTCTGTCTTGTTGTGGCGAATTGACGGCCCATTGGACTATAAGAGTAAGGGAATAGATTTGTGCTTGCGCTAGCCTTGGGCACTATAATCTTGTCCTACGTAAAAGTCTCCTATAAGACTGGCCGCCATAACGGGAATTCGGTCTTGAGGACATTAATACTTTCCTCATCACTGGCGCTTCGTGCTCACAACTCCTCCGTTAACTTGACCGTGGAGCTAACTGCTGATGATAGTGACAATAACATTTTTTGGTGACATATTAACCACGAGTGGACAGAGTTTATGAATCTTAATTTGCTTACCTATAGAATCCAAAATATATGAGCTCTCTGGCTAACTTAACCACTTCGAATGTGAGCTTGTTCTGGTCGTGATCGCTAAAATACCACGTGCTGGTGACCACTTTGCACAAGTAGTCCTCTACGAAGCGGATGGTGGATGCGAACTGCTCCTTCACTTTTTCACGATTCGCGTCTGGACCGCCTTTCACACATTGGTAACTGGATAAAAGAAAATAGACATTAATAGTTAATAGTGATAATAGTGAAAACTATTGTTGAGATTACTCCTACATTGAAGATGTTACGTTCTCTAGATACTTCAAAAGGTCCAGGCTGTAACTGTATCTTCCCATTTTTTTTGTTTCACTGTGCCCGTAGTTTGGTTTTATCTATTTCAATTCTGTTTCAGCAATTTCCTTACCTCTTCGGCGCAAGAAAGTCCGAGTTAAACGGATGCATAAAAAAGCTATAGTACAACAGTATCATAACCATTTACGGTTTAGCTTCATTGTTTTCTTCTGAGATTAGATGTTTATTATTAGAAACACATCAACTGGTTTTTAAATTGCCTAAATTATAAAATACACAAAAAAGAAAACATGGGTTGATTGAAAACTTTACCCTAAGTGGGTGAAGTTGTCAGTCAATCTATTTTTAAGAAGTTTACATTTTAAGAAAAAGCACGTCATTTTTTACAACACTATTTAAAATTATTGTATTAAATTTAAATAAAATAGAACTAAATACAATTACGTACAACATAAAATAATTAAAAGAAAATATGATATAATACATTTTTAGTTTGTTTTTTGAATTTTACACAATGCAGTAGAAATTTTTGCTCACTATGAACCGAAATGGTAGTTTAAGTTTAAGAAATTGAATATAGGGTAAAGTAGGCAGTAAATTAAGAAGAGCTAATGAGGGCTAATAATCTCACTCACCAGATGTCGTTAGTAGGGACTCAGGTGAAGTTTTTTGCGGGTCGCGATCCACGTGCATGTGCAGCATGAGTCGGCAGAACGATGTGCCAGCTGAGAGATAGTTGATATAGAACAAAATGCGTGTGTACTGTGTACTGTGTACTGACTCGTGCACGTGTATGGTGTCGCTAACGTCGCTCCAGAGGCGCGCGTACTTGACGGGCGTGACGGGCTCCTGCGGGTCGCGGTCCACGTGCAGGTGCAGCATGAGCCGGCAGAACGATGTGCCAGCTGAGAGATAGTTGATATAGAACAAAATGCGTGTGTACTGTGTACTGTGTACTGACTCGTGCACGTGTATGGTGTCGCTAACGTCGCTCCAGAGGCGCGCGTACTTGACGGGCGTGACGGGCTCCTGCGGGTCGCGGTCCACGTGCAGGTGCAGCATGAGCCGGCAGAACGATGTGCCAGCTGAGAGATAGTTGATATAGAACAAAATGCGTGTGTACTGTGTACTGTGTACTGACTCGTGCACGTGTATGGTGTCGCTAACGTCGCTCCAGAGGCGCGCGTACTTGACGGGCGTGACGGGCTCCTGCGGGTCGCGGTCCACGTGCAGGTGCAGCATGAGCCGGCAGAACGATGTGCCAGCTGAGAGATAGTTGATATAGAACAAAATGCGTGTGTACTGTGTACTGTGTACTGACTCGTGCACGTGTATGGTGTCGCTAACGTCGCTCCAGAGGCGCGCGTACTTGACGGGCGTGACGGGCTCCTGCGGGTCGCGGTCCACGTGCAGGTGCAGCATGAGCCGGCAGAACGATGTGCCAGCTGAGAGATAGTTGATATAGAACAAAATGCGTGTGTACTGTGTACTGTGTACTGACTCGTGCACGTGTATGGTGTCGCTAACGTCGCTCCAGAGGCGCGCGTACTTGACGGGCGTGACGGGCTCCTGCGGGTCGCGGTCCACGTGCAGGTGCAGCATGAGCCGGCAGAACGATGTGCCAGCTGAGAGATAGTTGATATAGAACAAAATGCGTGTGTACTGTGTACTGTGTACTGACTCGTGCACGTGTATGGTGTCGCTAACGTCGCTCCAGAGGCGCGCGTACTTGACGGGCGTGACGGGCTCCTGCGGGTCGCGGTCCACGTGCAGGTGCAGCATGAGCCGGCAGAACGATGTGCCAGCTGAGAGATAGTTGATATAGAACAAAATGCGTGTGTACTGTGTACTGTGTACTGACTCGTGCACGTGTATGGTGTCGCTAACGTCGCTCCAGAGGCGCGCGTACTTGACGGGCGTGACGGGCTCCTGCGGGTCGCGGTCCACGTGCAGGTGCAGCATGAGCCGGCAGAACGATGTGCCAGCTGAGAGATAGTTGATATAGAACAAAATGCGTGTGTACTGTGTACTGTGTACTGACTCGTGCACGTGTATGGTGTCGCTAACGTCGCTCCAGAGGCGCGCGTACTTGACGGGCGTGACGGGCTCCTGCGGGTCGCGGTCCACGTGCAGGTGCAGCATGAGCCGGCAGAACGATGTGCCAGCTGAGAGATAGTTGATATAGAACAAAATGCGTGTGTACTGTGTACTGTGTACTGACTCGTGCACGTGTATGGTGTCGCTAACGTCGCTCCAGAGGCGCGCGTACTTGACGGGCGTGACGGGCTCCTGCGGGTCGCGGTCCACGTGCAGGTGCAGCATGAGCCGGCAGAACGATGTGCCAGCTGAGAGATAGTTGATATAGAACAAAATGCGTGTGTACTGTGTACTGTGTACTGACTCGTGCACGTGTATGGTGTCGCTAACGTCGCTCCAGAGGCGCGCGTACTTGACGGGCGTGACGGGCTCCTGCGGGTCGCGGTCCACGTGCAGGTGCAGCATGAGCCGGCAGAACGACGCGCGCAGCTCCTGCGACAGCGACGCGCTCGACATGCACCTGCCGCATACAACACCTCATTTTATACCACTATAATTCTTCATGTAGTGGCGGTGAAACAATATCCACTACCACGTATCGTTCCGTAGGTGTCGTAAGAGGAGACAGGGGAAAACTCAAATAGGAGATGGGCAGCAGCATCTTTCTGACAAAGTAATAAAAAACTGAGACTGCCTAGTCCAATAAATGTGACAGCTGTCAAAAGGTATTTCCTAGATTTGGTGGAGTATAATGTGTTGTTAAGTTTCGTGGTGTCACAGTCACTTTGACTTAAAGTAATAGACACAGGACGAGACTTAACGGCATATTAAAATTGAACAGCGTTTGATTATTTGGGCATTTGCCGTGTAGTGGTGGTGTAAGAATACCCACTGCCCCGTATTTGAGATGATTGATGTTAGAAAAACATCGATGTTAACAACGATTCAAAAATACAGATGTACGATAAATATCGAAAGGAAAATATCGATGTCCGACAACATCGATGTTTATCGTTTATCTACAGGATGGGCTTTCATAATAAAACGAGAAAGGAGAAATGACTTTTCTTAGGAACATTCTCCCTTAAACTGATGTTTGATGTATACGCGATGTTTGATGTGACTAGTTGCCCCGTCTTGTTGGTACCATATCATGGAATTACACCCACGAAATTTTTGCAATTCTGCACTCAAATACTGCCTCAGCATTAGAGTATATCGTTCAGAGTTGGCATTCACTGCTGTGCCTTGCGCATCCTCAATGAAATAAGGGCCTATTATTCCGGTTGCAAAAATGGCTGCCCAAACTGTGACTCATACACAGTGAAGTGGTTTCTGGTGTTTTAGATTTGCCTGTTTTCTATTCCGATAGCGCCGTCCATGTAAAAATGTTAGCGTCTGATAATAGTACGTTACTGAAGCTATGGAACTACTGGAACATTTCAGACGTAAAATCCAACCTTGTAATCAAATCATTTTCATTTAATTCGTCGAGGAGCTGTACGTTGTACGTCGTACGGGACATTGCTAATGTTGTTGCATGTTTACGAGTTAATAGTCTCGGATAAGCACATACTGATTCATTAACTTACTGTACTCTTTCTTCAGTCGAAACAGTTCATGCGCGATTTGAGCGGCGACATAGCATCGCCAAACCGATCTCTTCAAAGTTGTTTATTCAATGCTTAATCAACAGGGGTTTTCATAAAATGTACGCACTGCAAAAAGCACGCTGTTGTACCGTGAAGTGATTCATAGCGACTAAAATGGCGCGAATCGAGCTAGAGAGACGCTGCCCGCGTGCTTCCCCCTTCACGCGTTCACAAGTTATAAAGAAAATAAAAATAAAATTTACTCCGGGCTACCCGGTACTATCGATGAATATCGATCATCATTGCCCCGCGTATCTGGAGCATCAAAAAGGAGATTGGCAGCAGCACCTTCCTGATAACAGCTCAAAATTATATAAAATTGCGGCCAACTCGCCTAACAAGCGTGGCATATGGCAAGGCCCATGTTCGACAATGGACATAAGCTGTAATGATGATGATAAACCCTTTTGTCGCATGGTGGTCGCGGAAGGGAATCAATCAGCTTAATACGTCCCGAGGGTGTCGTCGGGACGTAATGGGCTGATGGATTGTTTTCGACTATAGGTAATGCCAAAAAATTTTTATGGCTCTCGATAGACGACAGTATAACCATCTTGTTTTGTACGTGGCAGAGCCACGCTGCAGCTATTATGGTTGCAGCACGAATGGGTCGGCTCGACCGAGGTAAGACCACGCTCTCACAGAATACCAGCGCAAAATAGCAGCTTAATGCTGCTGTTTTTCGTATGGTCAGTGTAGAGAACCGGAGACCCTTTTTTCTGAAAATGAGACATTCCATTTTTGTCCTCAGGGGTGACTCATCTGCATTTTGATTCTTAATCGAGGATAATTGTAGATGGTATATGGGCCACAGCATTCACTTACCAACAGGTAGACTGTGTGCTATTTTCATTCATATTCTTTAAAACAAAACATCTTGTTTACAGATGTATAGATCGGCGACTGGCAACAGCATCAAAGGTGCGAAGGGTCTGGTACTACGTACGCTAAACCGCCTTCCAAGTGTGACGATTAACCATTACGAGTACAATCCATTCCGTCACTACAAAGTAGCATTTATTATATCTTTATATAAACTTATGTAACAACTCCATAATAATTTGCAGCAACAAAATAAAAAATAACATATAACATAAATGGAAACCTGATCTATTATCTCTGTTTAATGATGATGAACCAAGACGAAATGCCAAAAAGCCCTTCTGGGGAAAGGGTCCTTATACATATTTCTGTCGCCAAATAATATACTACTGTATTCCGGCCTGTAGAGATTCCATCTTAGTCCTTAGAGGTGCGAAGCATCTTTAGTATTCTTTGTTTGAAGTTGAAGGTATTCATAGACTTACCGCTAACCATCAGGTGGACCTGTGAGTTCGTTTGTCACTTGTTTTATTATAAAAAAAATATAGCTACTACAAACTAACAGTACTAATTTTACCCACTTAGACTTACTTGAGAATCAAATCTATATGCAGCTGTGAAGATAAGCTGTTGAGAGCCAAGTACTGCCTGTTGAGACACATGTTGGAGAAGAGATCGAGTTGATGACGGTAGTAGTCCAGTATTGCGGCCGCTTCGCTGCGGGGCTCCAAGCGTGCCTCTGCTGCTAGTTCAGACAGCAGCCGGGAACACTGTAAAATGTTAACGATTGTTCATAGGAGTTATTATCGCTTTTGTACGAAATAAATTTTTATTAAGTTTTTTTTTTTTACGTGGGGAAATGCCTACGCATACCCGCCTCGGGGTGCAAGGACAAGTTATGTCGGACTCGCACCGACTAAAACCCCATGGTGTTCCACCTTCGCCGCATATTGGCAGGACCACGGGAAATTGTGCGATTGGATCATCAACTTCTTTGCAGATCGGAGCATCAAGGTCGTTGTAGACGGTGCATGCTTCGACGGTGTGCTATCACCGACGCTGTTTCTTCTGCATATCAATGATATGTTGCTAACTGGTAACATTCATTGCTATGCGGATGACAGCACTGGTGATGCTCTATACACCGGCCGTGCCAATATTTCTCCGGAAAACGTCGCCGAGTACCGGAACAAACTTGTGTCTGAAGTCGAGTCTTTGCTGAACAAAGTCTCGGATTGGGGGCGACTAAATCTAGTCCAGTTTAATCCTCAGAAGACACAAGTTTGCGCGTTTACCGCTAAAAAGAGCCCCTTTGTCGTATCTCCTCTGTTTCAAGGCACTCCCCTTCTTGCCTCAGCCAGTATCAGAATCCTCGGAGTCGACATATCGAGTGACGTGCAGTTTCGTAGTTACTTGGAAGAAATTGCCAAATTAGCCTCTAAAAAGCTTGGCGTGCTCAGCAGAGCGGGACAGTATTTCATGCCGGCACACCGCATGCAACTTTACAAGGCGCAGGTTCGGCCTCACATGGAATACAGTTCCCATCTCTGGGCAGGGGCTCCCCAGTGCGAGCTCCTTGCACTTGACCGCATCCAGCGCAGAGCGGCTCGAATCGTCGACGACCGAGTCCTTTCCGATCGGCTCGATTCATTGGCACTGCGAAGAGATGTTGCATCCCTTTGCATTTTCTTTCGCATTTACCACGGAGAGTGCTCTGCGGAATTGTTCGGATTAATCACCACCACTCCAAGCACCACTGTGCGATTTAGATGTTTTCTTCCTCGCACAACTTCCTTGTGGAATCGATTACCATCAGCGATTTTTCCGGACCGAAACGACTTAGGGACCTTCAAGAAAAGAGCGTACTCCTTTTTAAAAGGCCGGCAACGCATCTGCGATTCACCTGGTGTTGCAGTTGTTCATGGGCGGCGGTAGTCACTTACCATCAGGTGAGCCGCATGCTCGTTTACCCCCTCTCCTATAAAAAAAACACTTTCGCACACATCCGCGGCCCCACCAGCGCCGGCCGCCCCATGGCAGCCCCTTCTCGTGGGAGGACCTCCCCTCCCCATTCGCCTTCTCAGGCAAGGCGCACCAGGAACACAAGGTACGCCCCCCTCCACGGCCTCCAACTCCACCTGCGTATCGGACCCCCCCCCCCCCCCCGAGTCTGAAGGGCGGAGGCCATGGGGCCAGGAAAATCGAGCCTACAAGTATCAATTACTCTAAATTCAATATGACGTTTTGGGAGAAGACCTGAGGTATGATCCAATTAAATTGATTTTAATTACAGCCTATATTTAAGTTCACTGCAGAAGATAGGTCTCCCCCATATATTACCTCATAGGCGGGATTTTGCAGTAGTTGCGTTTGGCTTTTTATAAGTCGGAATTGTTATCAGGAAGATACTTTCATCCATCTCCTGTTTTAGTTTCCACGAGACGATATGGGATAGTGGATATTCTGACACCGCCATTACACGGGAGGTAGGATGCGCTGTTAAAAATGCTACCCATTAAGTAGCTAATATTCGATGGTATTCAGTGGGGTCTTTCCTAGTCAAGCAGAACCATTTTTGCTACAACCATAATAACATAGCTGTAGCGTGGCTCTACCACAGCACATTGGGAACGAAAAATCAATAATTTACGGTTGAAAATAAAAGCTAATAAAATGTTTCTTTTCAGATACCTTTTTGGTTCTTCTCAGGTCTGAGAAAAGACAAAAAAGAAGGTATAATTATACTCACCTTTTTATTGTTCCATAAAAGCATCACCTCGTCTTCGACCGTGTATTTGTTCCCGGTTTCGTCAACTTCGGACTGGCTCTCGTATTTTGTCGAAACCAACCTAGCAACAAAGTTTTTGTATCGTTTAATCTCTCTTTCTCTCTCTTTCTCCCTCCCTCTCCCTCTCTTCCTCTCCCCCCCCCCCCCCCCCTCCTCTTTCTCTCTGTATTTCATCATCGGCCTGTGAACGTACATTGTTGGACATAAGTCTGTTCCATAAGTGAAGATTTGTCTGAATCAAATCCAGAGGGGAGCACTTAGGACACTGCTTCCCGTCCGTACATGCGAAGAAATTACTATTATATTATAAACATTTCGTTTCTTGCGAGATTGAACCTGCGGCCCCGCAGCTAAATGTACTAAGATTACTGCGCTACTGAACCGTCAATCAGTTATAACATGCTCTACTAATTTCCGAGGAGTCAGTTAGTGAGTTATTTTTATAGGACAAGGGTAACAAACGAGCACACAGTACACCTGATGGTAAGTGGTTGCTGTGGCCCATAGACATCTACATCTATTCTCGATTACGAATCAAAATGCAGATGCGTTGTCACTCGTGAGGACTAAGATGGAGTGCTTCGTTTCCAGTAGAAAGGGTCTAAATAGGTAGGACCAAGGGCCAAGCGTGGCGATTACGAATACCTGCAATGAAAGAGACCCAGAGACCCATGACAGGTTGATTAGGAGGAGATGGAATTTATATCCAAAGTATATACCTGGTTTCGATAAGTATGTCAGCGTTGTTGGCACAAAGCACACTCTTGCAGATGAGCTCCTGCGTGACTGCGATGGCCTTCTTGTTCGATATGCACAGGTCGCTTAAATAATCCAAAAATCGTGACTGCCACGTTTTCATGTTTTTGCGAACTAGACCTGCAATAGAAATTTAATTTATTTTTAAGTTCACCAACGGCAAGGAGTCGTTAGACGAAGGTATTTTATGGCAATCTATCTGGGAGATTTACTTTTTTTTTCATAGTATAATGGTGACAAACGAGCACACAGTCCACCTGATGGTAAGTAGATGCTGTCGACCATAGACATCTACCTACATCCGTCCTTTATGAAGTATCAAAATACAGACCCTGAGAACGATGGACAGCTACGTTTCCAACAAAAAGGGTCCCCGATTCTCTACATTATCCAAACGAAATACAGCCTTAAGTTAGAATTTTACGCTGGCACTCTGTGAGAGCGTGGTTCTTCCCCGGTGGAGCCAACCCATTAATGCTGGAACCACAATATAGCTGCACCATGGCTCTACCACGAGTTTAGCAAAGAGTTAATAAAAACAACATTTTTTATGATTTGACTTAAGATAATACCTCAAGTTACGAACCTACGAAAGTCTCGATCTCTGAAGCAGTGATGTGCTTTTCCAGCAGCTTCCTATTGTTGTGCAACAGCGCTGTTATTGTGTCTTCGGCTAAGATGTCGTAGCCGATTTGCTTCTGCATGAAGCCGAAATGTTTCGCTATGTACTCCTGCGAACAAAATATTGTTAATTAATACATTACAACCATTTTATCAGTCTGTAATAACCCCTGGAAGCAGGTCTTTACTATAATAGGAAAAAAAATTAGTAATCACCACGCTTAGTAGGTGGATTTGGGATCGCTATACTAAATATCGCATACCTTATTCTCTGTCGGCTATTTGAGTTCCAATCATAGAGAACAAGACATAGAGAATGGACTGAGGGTTAGCCAAACAAGTAATCATTCTCTAGAAAGAGACAAAGCGACTGTGCGGCCAATGCCTGTCTCTTTCCTGCAAGCCTGATTTGTCCACGTCCTGCAAGCCAGTGACATGGACCAATCAAAATTCTAAAAAGAGACTAATACTGGCCCCAAGATTCGCCTAGTCCCTCTCGCACTTTTCAGTCTATATTTACTGCACAACTCAAAACGGAACGCAAAGTTCATTCTCTCTAAAGTTTATGATTCCAATACACGTCTCCTTGAGCCAGTTAAAGTCCACTGCTGGACATGAGACACTCAAGCTGATGTGAGGGTGTGAGGGGGGGGGGGGGTTGCCTTAAATTTTACAGCTGGCGTAAATGAGACGGTTATACTGCCTCTATCGGGAGCCGAAATATCAGCAACCAAGTATTTTTAACCATAGGACCACGGTTTCGTTTTTATTTACTATCTTTACTATAATCGTGAAACACTCCTAACACAAGCATTTTAAGCTTACCAGAAGTGGTTAAAGGGAATATTAGTAATGTTTAATAGCAGTACTAGCATTTAAAAAAACAATAATAATAATAATAATTTTATTGACGTAGGGAAGTGACAACCCCACCGCCCGCTGACGTAACAGTTAAGTGACAAAACTGCTACGTCAGCGCAGTCAGCGCCTTGCCAAGAGGTGTGAGCGCCATGCCTCGGCAGAATTGATGGTGCAAAGGTCCGTCTGTACTTATAGCAGCACCATGAAACGGTGCCGGGCCTTCGCTTCTCCTGTTAATTGACACCCATTTAATGGATGATGGACAAAAAAAGAGTGCGCAAAGGGCCGCTGCCTGGAGGTCGCCAGGGCGCGTCTGGAGCTGGCGCTGGACGCGACACCATGCGGGTCGCCAGCCAAGCACGGGCCATCTGTTCATGTAACGGAGCAAAACCTAGCACACCGAGTTCGGCACATCCTGCGCTCCAACATATTTGGTGACGCCGAACTCGAATGGCTACGACGTGAGGCTGTTCCCTCATAGGATGTAAATGCTACAGCTGGTAATGTGGCGCCACTAATTGCAGAGAAACCTGCACACGTGGATGCCACCGTGGATATTCCAGTTGTGATTGATTTAGACGATGATGAAATAGTCTCCCACAAACTAGAGCAAATGAGGAGCATATTGTAAGAGGCTATTTTGGAAACGTGCAGTACACCTCTCGAAAATCGACCGCGACTTCCCCACATACCCTTAAGCAAGCGGAATCAGGCTCGTGTCGTGAGGGATTTTAACCCAATGCCGATGACCTATTTGAAAGCCAGCCAGGACCTTTGCGAGATGGACTCATTTCTTTTTGGCGCCGCACTGGCAATTTGCCATACTACTGGCGCCAAACTTCCCACGGCTGGACGCGCTACTAGACAAAGTAGCGCCATCCCAGCCTGAAGAAAAATAATTGAAGACCGTATCGCAAAGGCAAGAGCCCTTATAGGCAGACTGACAAGCTTCAGGTCGGGTAATAATATACCGAGAAATGTGCGCACCATCAGGATAGCGTTTGCTGGGACAAATATAAGTTCGTCCAAGGCGGATATTACGCAAAAACTGACGGAGCGCATAGACGAACTGAAGCAGAGAATCGCTGCTTAGGAAAAGCGGATTCAGGGATATACCAAGAGATCACTAGTGGTCTAGCCATCTCTCACACCCATGTGCACCACTAGAAAACGTATAGGTGTTAGACTGGAGCTCTAACATATCAACCAACGTCCGCGCAGTACCATAAGTGATCATTACAGAAATTAATTAATTCATTATAAAATATTTCTTTTGGATGCGCATTAAAGTCTTCAAGTAAATAAAATGCCTCCACACCACCTTCTCCTCCACTTCAATAATACATTTTATTAAACTAAGGCAAACATAGGTTTTCATTGCAGGTTGTCGGTATGTAGACGCTAAAATTACTACGGATCTATTATTTACATTTATTTTAATCGCAACTGTCCGAACATTATCACAATTTATCAAACACACTTTTCCTCCATAACAACGCACCACCACCGTACGGTCTACCAGAAGTAGGCTATCAGAGGTGTTGATTGCCGACGTTCCCATAGCACCAAAATCACTGTCAATTGTGCTCAGTAAAGTTAGTAAATTCAGTAATATTACAGCTTGCACACTTTACTCTTTTTGAAGACGACATATTCGTAGGGTGAGGCACTGCTCACGCATACGGACGTGAACTCGATCAAGAGCTGACTGTCAAACTAATTTAATATATAAACTTTTATGCATTACTTTAATACATAAACCTACTTGATTTTTCCTATAGTCTTGCTGACTGAGCCTCAGTATCCGGTAGCAGAGCCGGAAGATACATTTGTAAGGCGCGTAGCGCGGATCGTACAGCTCCTCGATCTTTAAAAACGGTTCCCCATCCGGTGTTTCTTGGAATGGTCCCTAAAAAAAATGTTTCTAATGACAATTTCTTTATATATTTCATAATTCGTCTCATAAATGTTTTAAAGTTGAAATATGTTTCAGAAATCGGAAGTCCGTCTTTAATAAGGCTAGGAAACAGGGGTCAGACAGTCCTCAGGGTACGCAACGCATCTGCATATGTCTATGTGCCACCGTATCACTTTACACATTTACGATCAGGTATACTGTGTGCCCGTTTGATACCCTTATTCCATAATAATTAACGTGTATACAAAACTTCAGCTCAATCGGTTGAAGATATCTGCTTCAAAATTGAGTTGGAAGATTCCATTCGAACAAACATAGTTACATTGTAAGTTAAATAAAAACTTGTAAAAAAACATCATCATTACTACAACACATTACAAGACCAGTGCCGCACACAGAACACTGTTCTGAGTGGCATGCCTCACCAGATTGTTACTCCACCTAGTGTAAGTACGCCTGACTCTGTCCTTGCCCGTAAGAGGCTGCCACTCGAGAAATTTTTTCCTCATCTTTGGCCACTTTTTTGAACGCCATTGACAACCCTTTGCCACTTTTAGAGTCGCATTGGGGGTTTTCAGTTACTTTTGTTCTACTGCGGATATCTAATAAAACAGAATAGAATAATAGTTTTTACGTGGTAGAACATTGCTACAGCTGTATAAGTAGTATAGTTGTAGCACGAATGAGTCGGCTCTACCGGGGAAGAACCACGCTCTCACAGAATACCAGCGTTAAATAGTAACTCAACACTGCTGTGTATCGTATGGTGAGTGTAGAGAACCGGAGATCCTTTTTACTGGAAACGAGACAATCCATCTTAGTCCTCACGGGTGATAACGCATCTTCATTTAAATTTGTAATTGAGGATAGATGTAGATGTCTATGGGCCACAGCAACCACTTACCATCAGGTGGACTGTATGCTCGTTTGTCACCTTATCTTATAAAAATTAATTATCAACAGGACGACCGCGGATGCAGTTCAGTCAGCTAAATAACTACTCTCAATAATTCTAAGCAGATCTAGATTTTTTAACATGTAAATAAAAAAATAGAAAGAAATAAAGAAAATCTCCCGTTTTTAAACTTAAAATGAATGTAGGCAACATATGAAACCTGTAAAATCTTAAAAAGTTGTCGCAATATGTACTGCTCTCGCAGTAGCTTCTGTCGGTCGCGGTTGGGATTCTCCACCACCAGGTCCAGAGCCTTAGACTTGTTGGGCTCGTTCTCGAAGCCCGCTATGAAGTATACGATGTCTTGTAGAAGGCAGGTGAGGGCCCTGAAGAAATACAAATTACAATAAGACACGCGGACTATAATACCTGTTACGGCCCTCAATTGCCCCGACAGAAGTCGACTGTACTAGGGCCCATGAGTAACACACTCGACGGGCAACCAGAGGGTTCGGGCCCGAATGGCCTATGGATAATTATTATGTAGTGGCTGGATAAACAAACACAAACTTACCGAGTTCCGGAGGTAGGGTCGACCATAAGGTACCGTCAGGGGTAAGTAAATGGTAGGGTGAGTGGTGTAACAAGGTGTGTAAATGTAACCTGACGTCACCGATGTAATCGGGCAGCAAACCTACATGCGTTGCTCTGCTCCACAATGTTCGATCACTCCAGTGGGCGTTTAAAAGTCCCGCTGGGTTTCTTGCTGGTTCTTCCCAGGACAGAGGGTTTTTTTCGAACCAGTGGTAAAGTAAAAAATGACTTTCAGTAAGAATTACACATGTAATGTATATTGAATAAAAAATATTCTATTCTATTCTATTCTATTCTACCGTTATCTGAACTCAAGTCTAACGTCACTTAGCACAAAACTATAATCGAAGAGGAACGCGATCTCCTCTCGGGTCACAAAGTTTTAGCGTCCCACCCGACAAAGCAAAAATTCGTTCGTACGATATTAAAATACCACACAAGCAACTCGTCGACGCAAATTAATGGCAATCGAAGTTAAATTAATCACTCAAAACTCAAGGAAAGCCTCGTTACGTATACGAACGAAATAAGACAACGCAAAGGAGGCGGTCTTAACGCGACCTAACGATTCTAACATAACTTGTAACTTCTCGACATATAACCGACACGGCCGTCGCGGACGATTGATTGTTCCAAACCAATCGGCACGGCCACCGCCCGCAAAACGAATGCCCGCCGGCCGAAGCAGTCAAACAGGTTTATCGCCCGAGACGAGCGTTTTTGCAAGTTTTAAGTGTTACGATTTGGCCTAAACAATACCTTTGAACCTATTATCTAGCGTCATTCGTTTAGCACTTATATATAGAATATCGATCAAGTTAATCAAATCTTTATTCACGAATACAGGTGGCGTTAACAAAGGTGTTTCATAATGTTACTAGCTAACTAGGCAGACGTCGTTCTGCCCTTTGCGGAGACCGTTTGACATATAAAAATCGTTATATTCGTAATATCTGGCCTATAAAAACCCTAAAATTCGTAATACAAAATATTGATGGTCACTTATCGGGATAAAAAGTATTCTAACTCTCAAGTTGGACCAAACTGCATACAGTGTGCAAAGAGTTAGATTACGTCACCCTACATTACATTTTTAATAAATATATAATAACCGAATTTCGCCACCATTTGTTATTCATTACAAATTTATATGGGATCACATGAGAAGCAGCGTTCAAATAAAAAAAAAGAATCATCAAAATCGGTTCACCTCGAAAAAAGTTCTGAGATAACGCACATAAAAAATACAGTCTAATTGAGTACCTCCTCCTTTTTTGAAACCGGTTAATAACAGCAACGTAATAAAGTAAACTCTCTGTTTTATCTGTTTTTATTGTCTCTGTCTCTTTCTATTATTATTATTTGGTGCTATATAATTTTTATAAGTTTTAAGTAATAAGTTAAAATAAATTACTATATTACTATCTAATGGTTTCAAAATTACCAATAATTTAACTTAATTTATTTTGATAAAAATACGCCCGACATCGATCTGCTCGGCAAGTATGAAGCATAGACTGCCTCGATGATTCATACGATGTATTTCATAGTGATCAAAAACGCTACTGCTAACCATGAGGTTTGTGGGTTCGGATCGCGGATCGGGTCAAAAAAGTTTTTTTTGTCACGAAGAAATTCTCAGTAGCCGCTCGGAGTCAGAAAGTTGGCGGTTTTTCCGCGATTCCTCTCCGGTCTTGTCTATGTCGTGTAATGGAAAGTACACCTGTACTTATGCATACGCTCGGGCACTATAATCCTGTCCTGCGCAGATGGCTAGTCTGCGGTGAGACTGGCCACCGTCACCAAAATTTAGCTTCTTGAACATGTTTCGTTAACAGCGAATAAAAGCGATGTGACCGTGGCAACAGCATCCCGTTGAGTTGGATCTTTTTTCGTTGCTACAACCTAATGTACTATGCGATTCAAATAAGAATAGGACTGACCTAGCGCCATATTATGACGTCATAACTGTTAATTCAAATCAGTTAGGTAAGATGAGCAAAACATATATTTTTAAAATAATATTTATATACAAATAAATACAAAAGAACCATGAAAGAAAAAAATAATCGGATGTTATTTACTTATTAAATTAATTGATTAATTTACTTTTAGACGAAATGTTGCCAACAATGAAAATAGAAAAAATATTGAAAAATATACGTGGTAGAGCCATGCTGCAGCTATATTAATAGTATAGTTGTAGCACGAATGGGTCGGCTCGACTGGGGAAGGACCACGCTCTCACAGAATACTAGCGTTAAATAGCAGCTTAATGCTGCTGTGTTTCGTATGGTGAGTGTAGAGCACCGGAGACCGTTCTTACTGGAAACGAGACATTCAATCTTAGTCCTCACGAGTGACAACGCATCTGCATTTTGATTCGTAATCGAGGATAAATGCAGATGTCTATGGGCCACAGCAACCACTTACCATCAGGTGGACTGTGTGCTCGTTTGTCATCCTTATCCTATAAAAAAAGTTATAAATTACTTTTAAAACGAAGATAGAATTAGATAGATTTGATAATACTCAGACTCAGTTAAATAAATATAAAAGTGGAAAATTAATTTTCTTTGCAAGCCATACTTTTCAAGTGACAGTTGACAGATCACGGTCATTCGCGGCCTTTGACGTTCCTATTCTTATCTGAATTGCATTAGATTTGTTTATATTGTTATTTTTTATGATCTCTTTACTGTTTTATTTTCTTTGTACGTTGCGTGGTGATGTTGCATTAATTCACTCAGCAGTGCAGAGATAGGTACCGAGAATTCCATTAGAAACGCAACTACGCCTTAGTTGCGTTTTTTGAGAGCGGTACTCACCACCCCCCAAAAACCCTTGCAGAGCTATCAAGACGCCTCGAGTCCACTTTCGAGCCGTCGTCTTCCTCGGGATCACATTACTGAGATCAACGAGTCAATCAAATCTTTTTAGTCTAGTGAAATTTTATAAGTAAAGATATAAAAATATAGATCTTACTTCATCTCGTTATGCTCTATATTGCCATGATGAAGTTTGGTCGACAAGGCCGACAGCACTTTGCAGGCGTCATTGGCGAAGTCCAAGTCTCTCACTTCGCTGGGTGATACAGATATTAAGGCGAACGCCTCTTTGTCCTCCTTTACGATTGAACATCCAACCTGTGAGGAAAAAATCAGTAATTAATACCATATTCATATACAGTCTATTTTTATTCAAAATGTCTTGTGTATTAATTTGCAATGAGTTATCACCAGACTGTCAACTGTGGGTGTCAAAGCATTTTTTTTAATTCTAATTAGAGGGTCGGTGTACGTGTATGTGGACTACATCAACAACTTCGAGCTTAGTGCTCCCAACAACTACCGGCATAGGTGTGACATGGACATTAAATATGATCTTTGTTTTGTCTTTAGTTTTTTCTCTTTGTAACTTTGAAAATGTCTTCCAATGCAGCAATGAAGAGTTTCGGGGATATAACGTCACCCTGTCTTACACATCTCTGCAGTTGGATAGGTTTCGTGCTCTGGTTCTGTACTCGGATAGCCATCGTAGCCCTACTGTACAAACACTTAAGCACTTCGATATACCGACATTCAACTTGGTACCGCTGAAGGGACTGTAGCACAGCCCAAATTTCGACGGAATCAAAGGCGTTAAATCGTTATTGTGAACAAATTTTATTAAATTTGAAAGAAATATATAATCGCATTTTGTAAGCAAAACCGAAGCATTGATATTCATAACCTAGATATTGGCCTCACTTCATTCAGTCTAGTTTGTGATGACATTTGGAAGTGAAATAAAGTTTAATAAATTTTATGCACTTTTGGATAAAATAAATATCATCTCTTATTTTTAAGATATGTAAACACCATAATAAGGTTTAGAAAGGAACAAACTGCTTTGTGGCATTCCTTGGGGGAGGCCTATGTTCAGCAGTGGACTTGTGAAGGGCTGTAATGATGATGATGAATATCATGGATACATTTGAAATTCTGTTACCTTCGACATGACCGGTTTCTCCTCATCCTTGTCGATCGGTATGGATGTTGAGTGTACCCATGTATGTGTGCATAAGTGCTGTAATCTGCAAGGAAAAACATTGTTATCATAATTACTGATATGAAATGCCCAACAAATTAACATAGTTATTGTCACCGATCACCGCTGGATGGAGACCTCCTTGAACGGGAAATGAGAACGTGTGTATGATTGAATATATTTACGTAAAATAATATTGAAATCTGTTGGTGTAAGTATACTTGACAACTAGGTAGCGGATCATAGGTTCGAATATCAGGCGGTGTCGAATATTTAGTACAAAAATGCACGTTTATATTTCAGTCTGGACATATTGCGTTTGCCTCCTTGTTTCTTACACCGCATCCAAACCTAACGTCGATTTTATCGCTTAAGCGATACATCGTAAATACAGTTGTTTCTGTAATATAAGTCACTCGTATATTAATGTTTTGTGCACAAATATGAGAACGTATTTACATCCCACACATATTTTATAGTTTATGACAAATAAATAGTATAACAAGGAATAAGTCTAAAATTGTAAGATAAATAATAAAAATGTGTGGCACTCTTTATATTTATTTTAGTAATATTATATTTTATTTTTTTTTTATAGGAGAGGGGGCAAACGAGCATGCGGCTCACCTGATGGTAAGTGACTACCGCCGCCCATGAACAACTACAACACCAGGGGAATCGCAGATGCGTTGCCGGCCTTTTAAAAAGGAGTACACTCTTTTCTTGAAGGTCCCTAAGTCGTATCGGTCCGGAAAAATCGCTGATGGTAATCGATTCCACAAGGAGGTCGTGCGAGGAAGAAAACATCTTGTAAATCGCACAGTGGTGGACCGCCAATCATCCAGATGGTGTGGATGGTATCGGCAGTTCTGCCGCGATGTGCGTTCGTGAAATTTGGCGGCTGGGATTAATCCGAACAATTCCTCAGAGCACTCCCCATGGTAGATGCGAAAGAAAATGCAAAGGGATGCAACATCTCTTCGCAGTGCCAATGAATCGAGCCGATCGGAAAGGGCTCGGTCGTCGACGATTCGAGCCGCTCTGCGTTGGATGCGGTCAAGTGGAAGGAGCTGGCACTGGGGAGCCCCTGCCCAGAGATGGGAACAGTATTCCATGTGAGGCCGAACTTGCGCCTTGTAAAGTAGCAGGCGGTGTGCCGGCATGAAATACTGTCCCGCTCTGCTGAGCACGCCAAGCTTTTTAGAGGCCAATTTGGCCTTCCCTTCCAAGTGACCACGAAACTGCACGTCACTCGATATGTCGACTCCGAGGATACCGATACTGGCTGAGGCAAGAAGGGGAGTGCCTTGAAACTGAGGAGATACGACAAAGGGGTTCTTTTTAGCGGTAAACGCGCAAACTTGTGTCTTCTAAGGATTAAATTGGACTAGATTTAGTCGCCCCCAATCCGAGACTTTGTTCAGCAAAGACTCGACTTCAGACACAATATATATTTACTAATTTGCGAACATACATGAAGAAATTTCATTTTTCTTTTCATTATCAAAATTTCACTACACATTACAGTCTTACCTTACGAAATTAACGGTTTCTTAATCTAAGTATTCTTATTTTATGAAGCCATGAATTCCGTAATATATCTTTATACCTGCCTCTTTGTATTCTAACTAGGCGAAGAAAGAGGGAGAAGGAGAGAGAGAGAGAGAGAGAGGGAGAGAGAGAGAGAGAGGGAGAGGGGGGAGAGGGAGAGAGGGGGAGGGGGAGGGGGGGAGGGAGGGGGGAGAGAGGGAGAGAGAGGGGGGGAGAGATAGAGAGAGAGATCAAATTTATACATTTCTTAATTTAATGTCGATGTTTATGGTTAAGGCCGTTAATCTGTAAGGTATCATTTACTACTATGATTCGTTGATCGAATGTAAGCTTAGACGAAAATAACTAATGAAATAAAGAAAAGAAAAACTAAAGGATAAAAGAATGAGCCATGGAGTGAATGAGTGAGTGAGTGAGATGAGGTGTGTGTGACCTGACGTAGCTGCTCTGCGGCACGGCGGCGTCGGAGTGCGTCATGGTGGTGGGGTCGAGCTCGAACAGCGTGGCGATCTCCGACGAGTGCGGCACCGACACCAGCTGGTACGCCGGCTCGCTGCCCTCGCACGCCGCCGCTGTCCCCGCCTCGCTGCCACATGCCACAAACGAAACTGAACGTTATTTAATCACGCGAAGAAAGGTTTTCGAGTGCTACCTCGTACCGGTAAGCCAAGTGTAGGGCCACTTGATGAAGTGACGAACTAGTAAGATGTAGGAAGTCGACGATTGCAGGTGGTTCAGGACCATATTTTGTGGCATTCCTTGGTACATGCCTACGTTCAGCAGTGAACTTGTGGTGAGCTGTAATGATGATGACGATGGTGTTTATTTTGTATAGAACTGCCCGTCTCAACACAGGCGTCAAGCAGACAGTCTAATGTATTAATATCAAGACTTATAAACTATTTGATATGTGAAAATAGAGCAGCGGGTTAGTCAAGTTGACTTTCTTCAATTGTTTATGATGATAGAAAACTATAAACAGTAGTATTTAGTCACATGATAGCGACTTCACTAGCGTTGAGATCATTCTATAGTTTTAGTTATAGTTTTCTAAAAGCGTTCACCATAGTAGGAAGTCAACTTGGCTAACCCAACTCCTTTATCATATTATTTATTTATAACATACAAACATACTCTCCACACAAAACCTGGAAGAAAAAAATAGAATGACCCAGCTTTTGTTAGTTTTCTAATTCTTAATCTAGGCTATTATATTTATGAGTTAAACATTTGCATCTGTCAAATTTCGCTTAGGGAATAAAGTTTTTTATATAGAATAAGGGTGACAAACGAGCACACAGTCCACTTGATGGTAAGTGGTTGCTGTGGCCCATAGACATCTACTTCTATCTTCGTTTGCGAATTAAAATGCAGATGCGTTGTCACCCGTGAGGACTATGATAGAATGCCTCTTTTCCAGTAAAAAGGGTTTCCGGTTCTCTAAACTCACCATACGAAACACAGCAGCATTAAGCTGCTATTTCACGCTGGTATTCTGTGAGAGCGTGGTCCCTCCCCGGTCGAGCCGACCCATTCGCGAATTTCGTCTATACTATTAATATAGCTGCAGCATGGCTCTACCACGTATATACATATTTAAAACTACTACGAATATTGTTCGGTGTTTTGGTCGATATCGGTTGCGACACATAGCTATTTATAAAATGCAACAATCTGGGATTAAAAAATGAACTTTACTTACGGTCCTTTCATACAGGCCTCGGCGGCTAGGTAGTGTCCGGTGGCGAGGTGCTTGAACCTGAAGATAGAGTTCCAGTGCCCAGCGCCGCCTCGGCACGGGTCATGTTGGACCACCTGTATATAAACAGTCGTTATTTTAAAATCTAGATCTATTTTAAAATCTAGATCTATTTCTGCAGATATTAAACTCATTAGATGTCAAATAATAATTACCTAATTCCAAAAATTTACGAAACAATCAATTAATCGAAAATCGATTTTTGATTGCTACATTTTTCAGGGCGTTCTTTTGATTTAAATTACAATCTAACAAGATTTTTTTTTTCAGGAAAAGTCAACATCCATCTGGTGTGGTGCGGCATTAACATGTGGTTAAGTACTCACCAGCACCACCTCACCTTAACAAAAAAAAACCAATAAGCAATACATGAAGCAACGTACCTCAATCTCCCAAAGCGCTTTGCTGCTGGTAGCGGCGGTCGCACTAGACCGTCCCGTGGTACGTAAGAACACGTGTTGGCGCTTCTGATACTCGTCCATCGTAAGGAACTTCTCCTGTTCAGCGTGGAATAGGCGCACCACATCGCCACCCTTTAGGATCTCTTCCTGGTTTTCCTTGTGTTCGAGAAATAGTGTCACCTTCCATGACGTTGATGAATTCACGACGTTCACCTAAATGTACAAAGAAAATGTTTATATTTTGTATATCAGTTTAGTCACTATGATAGATCTATCTAATAAATAAAAAATAATATAAGTTTGTTCGTATTTTATGTCATCATAGGAAGGTTATAGGCATAGTTCAATGAACTTACCGTAGATGACGTGGGTATCGTACAGACAAATTTATTTGAAAGTTATACATATATCATTCAATTTCAATGAATGTAGTATCATTCCTAATTAAACAATGCAACTCTTCTTAATTTAAAACGATATTTCCACAAATATTTCTTCCGCGGTTGAAACGCGTCAAGTACCAGCTAGTGTTATATAATAAAGGTAAGCCATAACCCATCATAAGTCCACTGTAGAATATTTGCTGTTGTTGTCATATATGGCAAGTGGGTTTTTGTGGGTCTCTTTCCGAACTTGGCTGGCACACTGCCTTGTATTCAGATATATATATACGAACCGGTTGAGAGTGTGAAAATTTTTCCCAAAATCATCAAATGCAACGTCTTTGTTGAGGATATCCGCAGTAGAACCAGAGTAACCGACATAGCCCAACGGATTAGTAAGCTGAAGTGGCAGTGGGCCGGCCATATAGCTCGAAGAACCGACAACCGATGGGGAAGAAAGGTTCTCGAGTGGCAGCCTCGTACCGGTAGGCGAAGTGTAGGGCGTCCCCCCACGAGATGGAGTGACGACCTGGTAAGACATGCAGGAAGTCGATGGATGCAGGTGGCTCAGGACCGTGCTTTGTGGCATTCTTTGGGGGAGGCCTATGTTCAGCAGTGGACTTGTGAAGGGCTGTAATGATGAACGTCTTTGTTATACTAATGTATAAGGACTGACGAAAAAACAAATAGAGAAAAACGATAACAAATTTTAGCTAACTTAAACACCAACAACAAAAAGTTTTTAAACGACTTCAACCTAGAAGTAACGAAGATTAATTTTTAGTGTCGAAAACATTAAAACTTTCGACGCGAGTGCAAGCACAGAGCGGTATCGAAAAGTTGTACTTGCACTGCTTTTTGGTTTTTACTTTTAATAAAAAAAAACATTAGTTTCTATATCATAAACAAATACAAAAAGTGGTGGTTTTTTTCATTTCCTAAATATCATTTGTTCACAGATATTCAGCCTCCTTAAATATAAGCCGTCACAATGAAAGAGTTTTTTATATAAACTTTTCTTATAATATATATATAATTTTATATATATATATATATATATATATATATATATATATATACATATAACAAAAAAATAATAGAAAATAAAAGGTATATTAATCCATTTTGCGTAAAGAAAAGACTAATGCCAAATAAATTACTATTTTATAGATGAATCAAAGACATTTATTTGCTGATATTGTTATATTGTGACGTGCAAGTATTTGTGCCGTGTATTAGCAGCCTAAGAGAATCCACTACCCCATATCATAATATGGCTTAAGAGCGTAAGAGGCTACATAGAGAAACCGAAATAACATAACAGTCCAATAAAAGAAAACAGCTGTTGCCAACCCACCTGCCAATTGTTGCATTTATGGTTATTACTTTTGGGGGGTTGTAATAAATGAAAAACAAAATAAATCACATGAAATAAATACTACACAATGGCAATTTAAATGTATATGTGATGGAGTGAGCATCGAGTCAACAAAAAGGTTTTTGGTTCATCATTATGGCCGCGAGGTAGCTTATAAGCCTAATTAATTTTATATAAGTTCCTAATTAATGTTTATACTTAAACCTATTCTAAGGAATCAATATTACGACTACTTGAATAGCACTAAATATAATTAATATACATTATATTATTTTATAGATATGAGCTTAATAGTAGACAAAGAACTAAATGCGCTAACGTATGGGAGTAAAAAAGATTACAAAATAAGACTTGTACATACATTAAATAACGCAAATTAGCGCTTTTAATTAATTCTTCTATTACGGTAATACTTGTACAGCTAGCCTCTTTTACTTTCTGACCTCGATAAGAGATCAGACGTACCTGTTTAATTTCCAAATTCACACAGGTTTGTGCTGCAGTTTTTAGTAGTATGTAATGCTAACACAAATAAACAATGAAATAGATAATAATTAAAATCAATATAAAAGCGTTTATCATAGGTAAATAAAAAGAAATAATAAAACCATTTATTTATATCATATCATACACAACATATAAAATAAATATAAAGTACACGTATTATTAATATAAATACAAATAACTATTACATATCATCGACTTCTCTTAGGAGTATAATTTTAAAACGACTAAAATTGTTGTCACATAATTTGCACCGATTCTTTAAGTTACACTCGCACGACCCTATCCTTTACAGAACCGACTTCAAAAAGGAGAGGTTCTCAATTCGAGCGTATGTTTTTTTGTATGTATGTTATGCGATATCTTCGCAGATTGTAAACCAATTTTGATGATGATTCTTTTTTTATTAAACAGGTTATACTTCAAGGGTGGTCCCATATAAATTTGGAGAACAAAGTCCGCCCATAAGAGTAGCAAATAAATAACTTCTTGTTTTAGCAATTTGCAGTCGGTTTTAACTTTTTGTTAAAAGTGATAATGGGGTTGTTATAAACTAATTTGCTTAATTCCGCGTAAAGAAAGAAAATGATGTGTCCTGCCCAGTTTTAAGTTGACCTCCCACCCTCCCTCATTCGCGCGCACTATACCCGTCGCCGTCAATCCCAGCACTAGCATCCCCAGCACCACCACACTAGGCATGACACACCACTCTCGAAAATACGACACGTGTTTCGCCTCTACACGACGCATCCTCAGCTGAAGTAATCTGCAGAGGCTGGCCGCTAAGTGAGCGGCCGCTCACGCGGCATTAAGCAAATTAGTTTATAACAACCCCATTATAATGAATTTCCGCAAAGTAACGCCTGATTCTATTAATTATCTTAAAAGTGATAAAGACCTTGAATTTCGGTCACTCTCACTCGGTCTCAACGGAGATGAGGCATCTGCGCAGATGCACAGGACAGGATCACAGTGCCCGAGTGTTCGCGCAAGCACAGGTGCACTCTATTCCCTAACGCTCATAGTCCGATGGGATGGCAAACCCACACGACTAGATAGGTTAGGCGCAGGAGCAATGGCGTTACGTGCTTTCAGAAGCACGGCGGTGAATCACCGCCATCTTCCTGACAACTGATATACACAGATCTTGTCAAGAAACTAAACCTTACAGAAGACTTTTGTTTTGAAGTACGCACGTTGCATGGATTGAAATTGCATTTTTTTTTAACTACTAAAAGCCAGTGTTAGACTACTATCCCACTTGATTGTAAGTGGTGATGCAGCCGAAGATAGTAAGGCCCACTGAGCTTAACAAAATCCTATTTACTCTTTCTTTGAAGATACACACATTAATCGGATGGAAAGACAGATGCTGTTAAATGTAGTACACATTATTAACGACAAAGCAAACTGTTTGATTCGAATAAGTGGTAATATCGACAACAAAGGGGTGGAGACGAGCCGAGTGTCTGGTAGAACAAAGATGGAATGGAGAGCGGGGGAAATAAGTCATGCGATTCCTGCGCACACTCTCCGAAATGAACCCCGTAAAACACCGAAAGGCTGTCTGGCTACTTTGCGCCCGTTTTTGATGTTAATCACAAGTCACAATCACTTTCACCATTTTCGCAGCATCTAAAACCTTGATCGGCTTTCTGCGATAAGGCTAATTAGGTTTTTATTATTAAAAATTATACAAGTAATATGCTTTTTGACGACAGTAAATTAGGACGTCATGATTTTTTAATCTAGAATAGTTTTCGTTATGGGATTAATGTATGAAAAATTCAGGTTGTATTATAAATGTGAAAGTTTGTTTGGATTTATAATTATGTTGTGGCTAATTCACGTAAAAACTACTGATCGTATTTCGATGAAACTGGACAATATTATAGCAACTAAAGCAGAATAGGATATTTTTCACAGGCTATATTTTAGTTTAAAAGGTTTATTCTATCCCAAATTAGTCTTCCTAATCCCAATTTAAAAAAAAATTGTCAGTGTTTTCTGTCAGCGGAGCCGTAGATAAAAGCTTTTTAAATAAATTATAGTCGGTTAAACTTAATACGGCCCAATTTAATACAGTCACAATAAAATATTAAGTGAATATAATACCTACGAGTAAAAAGGCAGCCTTACCTCCATGCAGCCTACGTTGTCCGGCAGTTCGTGGTTGGACGACACGTGTAGGACTTGTTGGCCCGCATTTACCGGGTTCATTATCACTTTATCGCCTACCACCACATTGTCTCCTACAATGGGAAAATTTCGAAGGTGAATATAATACTAAATAGCCATTGCTGCCGCTGTGTATTATTGATTATTAACATACCTCTTCTTATATATAAAAGGGGGCAAACGAGCATGCCGCTCACCTGATAGTAAGTTACTACGACCGCCCATGAACAACATGCACACCAGGGAAATTGCAGATGCGTTGCCGGCCTTTTAAAATATATAAGCTTTTTTCTTCCCTAAATCGTATCTTATCTTTAAGGAAAAGAATATTATGTATGTATACAAGAAATTCCAACAGCACGCACTAAAGCAGAGCGATGGATTAATGGCAACATAACTTCTCGCTTTATCGTCTTCCACTACATCACCACTTACCATCAGCTTTGATAGTAAGCAAGCATTGACTGCTTTGATGGATTGGAAGTTAAAAGACGCCTGTGCTCATTAATGGGATATAGTCGTATATTGTTAATAGTTATTATATAAGAAAATTGAAAACGCTAATGTGTAAGAGTGAATTTGAACGTCTGAACGATGAAATAAGGTATTAATTTCTATATAACGAGCGATATTAATTTAATTCCTAACAGCGCCGTGAAAGCTGTATTAAAATAAATAGATATACTATAAGTGCTAACCATATCTATGTTCGCTAGTTATGGACGTTATGAAATAAGGTGCTCGCTAGTTGATGAAGACATCGTGAGAAAAACTGCATGACTGAGAAAACAAATGTTTTGAGAAAATGTGTAGTAGCGTGCCGGACTCTCATAACCCTTTTAGAAATAAGTGACAAGAACCAAAGACCTGTTTGTTATTGGTAACGAGGCATTAATCCTTAGGAGTGACAACAAATCTGCATTTTGATTCTTAATAGAGAATAAATGAAGGTGACTTTCATTTAACATCACGTGGACAGTGCTCGTTTGTCACAATTACTTTAAAAAAAGTATTCCAGTGCGAGAGTATTGACTCTGCGTATATCAATCCGCTTGTTCATGTGAATATGGACGAATCTTTTAAATTAGGCATGCCAGTTAGCGTATTCTTATAAAGTCAAACTCAAGTCAAGTAACATCGTTCTACAGATAAAAGGAATGGTGCTAATAAATAAAAGAAATTAATTCTCATTATATTTGATCTGTGCTAAATTTTACAACTTCTTCGATAACCTTTTGGCCGATTACGGCCGTTACAACTTTATTTAACGTCGAAATGCTACGTGCACAGACAAAAACAAAGATCGCCGTACCTCAGACTCTATATTCAAAGAAACTACGTGAGGTTTCTATTGGTATTAGATATACAAAAAAAATATATTAGTTACTAACAAAGATAACAAGTGTGCCGGTCGCTGATCACATATTCGTATGTTTTGAGAGTAAGAAGTGAAGTCCTCAAAGTTCATTAATGCTAATTTTGAGGAGCTAAGTTAAGCTGATAATTAGATTTTACAGGCATTCTTAGAGATTAAGGAAGAGCAACTAAATATACATTCGATATAAAATGATGGGGAGTCATCACATCACATTTTTCGTTAGTTCTTAATCACAAACATATTTTTCTGTTGCATCAACGTTAACTCGCACGCCAAGAGTGTCAATTTATGCTAAAGCGTCGCTAAATGACTATAGGTACTTTTTCAACACCAAAAAAGGAGCACATAGTTTATCTGATGGTAAGTGGATGCTACAGCATGGCATCTTCGGACTACAGTCCATAGATATTTATATCAATCTTCGATTAAAAGTAGATGCGTTATAACCCCTGAGGATTTAGATAGAATGCCGTTATCAGTAAAAATGATATCTGGTTCACTATCCATTCCCCTTACCATACGAAACACAGCAGGTATTAAGCCGCTATTTAACGCTGGTATTTTGTGAGGGCGTGGTTCTACACCTACACGTGCCGACCTATTAGTGCTGCAAACATGATATAGTTGCAGCGTGGCTCCACCACGTAACGTCTGTCATAGGAATATCTGGGAAGGGGAACATCATTCCTTCTTAATTAATTTCTATTTTCTTGTTTTAAGTAGTTCTGTTTAAAAACTTATAATGTAACCCATGCTAATGCATAAATTAATAGGGCAAAGTTATGAGAGAAGCCACTAACTCCAGAAATACAGTTTTACCCTAGTTTCGGAGCCTATAGATTCAATGAAACATTTATTGTAGGACTTTTATGTCAAAATAAAGTATTGAGTTTGAATTAGTGTAATCAATTGTATACTCACCGGTCGATCGCAGTTTATAAAAAGGCATTACATAAAACCACGAGCCCTCGTTTCCGTTAGCGTCTAGGTGTACCCGCATCGCGTTCTTCTCAAGAAGCGCGGGTAGTCTTTTATTCACCTGCAGCATAAAAATTATACAGTCACAAGCTTATAATTATTTACTAAATAATAATTAAATTATTTTAATATAATATAAAAAACAGCCCTATCGGTAAAATATCACATAAGTTAACCTCTGAGAAAAAAACGTTACAAAAACTTTTAACGCTCTACCACGAAAACTTTTAAAAAAAATTTTCGTGGTAGAGCCATGCTGCAGCTATATTAGTAGTATTGTTGTAGCACGAATGCATCGGCTCGACCGGGGAAGGGCCACGCTCTCATAGAATACCAGCGTAAAATAGCAGCTTGACACTGCTCTGTTTCGTATGGTGAGTGTAGAGATCCTGAGACCCATTTTACTGGAAAAGAGGCATTCCATCTTAGACCTCACGGGTGACGACACATCTGCATTTTGATTCTTTATTGCGCATAAATGTAGATGTCTATGGGTCACAGCAACCACTTACTATCAGGTGGACTGTGTGTTCGTTTGTCACCCTATAATATAAAAAAACCCCACAGTAGCATTTTCTCCTCTATCGTGGGGACAGTATAGAAAAACAAATTGCACAAGCACAAACAAACCCGGAACAAATATCTGTAGGTCATATACAAATACTTGTTCCGAGCGCGATTCGAATCCGCGGCCCTCACTGCCGCAACTCAATGCCAAGCCACTGTCCAATCGAGCTATCGAATTGGTTACGTCTTCTATTTAAAGTCGGTTAAAATGCTATTATTTAAAATAAAAGTTACCCTCACATTAGGATATTCAGGCAGTTTATATGCATAACAAGGATAAACATCAAAACCCAGAACAATTATCTACAGGTCATACAAATACTTGTTCCGAGCGGGATTAGAACCCACGTCCCTCAGCGCTGCAGCTCCTTGCTAAGCCACAGCGCCAAGCAACACTTGTTAATTGGTTTAAAAAAGGAAACAATGTACAGCCTTGGCGCAAGTTAAATATGGAAATTCTTGGAAGATTTCATGGTTTGTGTTACATAACTTTGGATCAATTCGTGTATACAAGTGCTTAGTACATTTCAACTGACGCCGAAAACAAGCCAAAACCATGCTTTTTGTAAGAACACACACACTCTTAAACGTGGTAGAGTCATGCTGCAGCTATATTTCTGGTATAGTTGTAACACGAATGGGTCGGCTCGATGGGGAAAGGACCACGCTCTCACAGAATACCAGCGCAAAATAGCAAGTTAACGGTGCTGTGTTTCGTATGGTGAGTGTAGGAAACCGGAGACCATTTTTACTGGAAACGAGGCATTCCATCTTAGTCCTCACGGGTGACAACGCATCTGCATTTTGATTCATAATCGAGGATAAATGTAGATGTCTATGGGCCACAGCAACCACTTTACCATCAGGTGGACAGTGTACTCGTTTGTCACCCTTATCTATACAAATAAATAAAATTGAAGTGTCTGTTTGGTAATGTCAAAATTACAGCTTTTTACTAAATGCATTATATATATATATATATATATATATTTATATATATTTATTTATATATATATATATATGTATATATATATATATATACGGTACTTATAACAAAAATACAATTTTTAAAGATTTTGTCTGTCTGTCTGTCTGTCTGTCCGTCTGTCTGTCTGTTTGTTCCGGGTAAGCTCCGAAACGGCTGGACCGATTTTGATGGGATTTTCATTGGCAGATAGCTGATGTCACGAGGAGTAACTTAGGCTACTTTTATTTTAGAAAAAGAATTAGGGTTCCGCGCAAAAAATTCAAACTCCAAATAACACGCGGGCGAAGACGCGGGGAATAGCTAGTCCTATATAAAAAAAACTTATATTACATATTTAATCTAAAATTTAGATTGAAAAAATCTAAGATTTTGCAACCAACAAAATGCTTTAAGCGTACGTATGGGTGCGCCCAACACTGAACTATTACGGGTTGTTAAAAAATAAAAGATGACACATGTGTGCGTCAAGAGTGTGTGTCAAGAAGTTAATCATGGTTTCGGCATCACTTTAAATGTACGCAGTGTTCCACCTGTCTTTGTTAGTCTGAGGCAATGTATATATCGGCAACGATGAGCAAGATCGAATTGCGAGATATGGTACTGCGATTGGCACCATATGACCATGTTCCGATTATGACAATGCACTATAAACCAGGTTCACTTCTGTTCTGCGTACAGTACACAAAAAGTAAAACAACAATTTAGCAAAGCAAGGCATCAATTTTGAAAGTTACAATTTTGGAGCACACAGGCCTCCTAATGGTAAGTGGATGCTGTGGCCCGTAGACATCTACATTTATCCTTTGATTAAGAATCAAAATGCAGATGCGTTGTCGCCCGTGAGGACTAAGATGCCTCGTTGCCATGTCGAGCCAACCCAATTTATAGTTATAGCACGACAACCATAATATACAAATATATAGCTGCAGCGTGGTTCTACCACGTTTAAATACGTTTGTTTATGGTTCAATACGTATGTGGACAGAGTAAGAGAAGCCATTACTTAAATTTAGTCACGTGGCTTTTCCCATAGTCGCCGCTAACGACTAGCGGCGACTATGGGAAAAGCAAAAATCTTAAGTCTTCTAAATCAAAAGTAGGGAAATCTTGAACTGCGATCTTCATTTTCATAAGAATAAAAAAAAACATTAAGAAAAAATATATGGAATGTACAAACGGTAAGGTATTTGTTGGATTTGACATGCAGTAGCTGTATGACGCTGCCGTACTGCACGACAGTCCCCAGCAACTTCTTGTTCTCCAGATCATTCTGCTTCTTCTCTATTTCAGCGGCATGCTGCAAGCAAGACAGACAGAGAATTAATTTAATTTAGTTCTGTATTCCAAAAACTTTGTTTTGTTAATAAAAAGCTTAAGGGTGTTATCAATAGGGCATCTGAACGGTTTTTCTCGGTTCTTTCGGTTCCTTTACAAAATGAATTAAAAACTCTATCGCTGTAATGTAGTGTTATAAAAAACGTGATTTTAATAATTTCTGCTATTATGGCAAACAGTATGATTTGTAATGATATTTAATTTAATTTATTTGAATGAACCTTTAACCTATTAACCTTTAACCGACGAGCGTGTATGCGTAGGTATATGGATGTGGAGGAAGCGAGAGAGGTGTGTCAGGATTGTGCCAAATGAAAGTCCATAATCTCTGCCTACCCCTCTGGGTGACAGGCGTGAGTGTTTATGTATGTATGTATTATTTGAATGATTGATTTTTTATCAATATATAAAATTTAAGGTAACGTGTACGAGCAATTGTAAAATGAATGTTCCTATGTTTGATTTGTTTTATATTTAATTAAGAAGAAACTATTGTAAGTGTGTAAGTTAAAAATAATTTATGTTAAACAAATAAAAAGAATTGGGTAGAATGGATTAGTCGACGTCGATGGAGCAGTTTGATTAATCGAGAACTCGCCCCGCTCCACTGACCGCTCGCAATTGTCCTCTTCTGAATACATTTTGAAAGATACTGATGATGAGCCCACAACCACATCGATTAATCGTTAATCGACGTCGATTGATGATTAACCAACCTTTTATCTACTATAGTACCCGTCGATCAGCTAAAGCTGCCACACCAATCGATCGAAATCGAACGACGTAGATCAGTGGCATCGATCGACTATTGATCGATTGGTGTGGTAACACTCTAAGTTTATAGACGCACGACAGTGTGGAGTAGGCAAACCAAAATTTTAGATATTAGCGACCACAAGTCGTAGACTATGAACTATTTCGTGAAAATAGAAATAAATCACTTTATATCTAAGTATAGACAACTTACAAATAATTCTAGGTGTTAGGACTCTTTGCCTTAGGAGTCCGTGTGGGTAGGTACTATCTTCTTACCTACTAGTAGTAGTAATTTCCCTACCCTCAGCTCGCCGTTCTCTCTTCTCTTGTGCTTAGTTTTGCGTTGAAGTCTCCCATTAACACCGCATAGTGGGTTTTGAAGGAATGCATGACTTTAGAGATATCCTCATACATTTCCTCCACCTCCTCACGGGGATGTGCCGAGGTTGGTGCGTAAACCTGTATAACCTTCAACAAATACCTTTTGCTGATTCAGAGTATAAGGTACGGAACCCTCGTCGACACACTCACAATCTTTATAACGTTGTTAACGAGAGACTTGTGGACAATAAATCCGACACCTCCTTGGGACAGATGGTCGCCCTCCCGGTGATAGAACAAGTTGTCGGATTCACCGTGTCCTCCCACTCTCTTCGGACCTCGGATAATCCTATAATATGCCAGCGTAACTTATCTATCTCTTCTTCCGGCTCCAGGATCTTCTCGTCAGTCCTCAGGGTGCATGCGTTGTATGTTGCCAGGTCGAGTCGTCTTACGTGGCAACCGAATCTCCACCGGAGATTCTTAGCACCGCCTGTCCCGCCGTTACCATGGTCGCCACCGTAGCCAGGAATAGCGGGGCCGCCGGGGACTGGGGGCCGTCTCTTCGTAACTTTCATCGTGGGGGTTTGCCATAGTTGTCACGCTTGGCGAGCGGGTTGGCAACCGCAGTTTTTTATCGTAATATTGCTGTTATCAGGAAGATGCTGCTGCCCATCTCCTGCCTGTTTCCCTTTGTCGTCTCTTACGACACCCACGGGAAAATATGGGCTAGTGGAAATTATTAACCGCACTTCACGGCTAATAAATCAATATATATTATATAATTTAACTCTTCAATTCCCGTGCATATGTTTATCAAAAAAAAAAAAAAACTTTCTTTTACTATATGGTACAGATACATTTAGTATAGACCAAAAAATTATAAAAATAAGACTACTTACTACCCCCACTAATTTTTTATAGGGGTGTCACCTACAGGTGTCACTGGGCATTGTTTAAACAACTCATAAGGTTTTTTACTTTCATTCTGTAGAAATGAAACATCCGTTTTAATAAAAGAAATATTTATTGACATATAAGAAAGAAACGTTATATTACCATGGAACATATACTAAAACTTTAGATGATAACGGATATTGTACTTGGCGTACATTTTTCGCTTACGGTAATGATAATATCCACATCGCCGCTGCGAACAGACAACTTCTACGTGATAATCGGCGATACCTGCAGACCTCACCTGAACAGGCGCTCTAATTTGGACTGGAACTCTACAGGCATAATCACTAGTTGGAGGCTTATTATACTTTTGCAGGTAGATAGTAGCAACGTTTCTGCGAAAGTAATAGTCCCGTTATCTTGGCAATCAGCATCTATACCAAAAGCAAACAGACCAACCCTGATGTAGTCAACATTTTCGTCAAAATGGTTTACCCCACCCTATATGGGTGTTAGTTGTTGTTGTACATCCTGACAATAGCTAGGCAATCCACTCTAACTTTCGATCGCTTTTTATTTACAACTCCAATATGATCAACTTTTGTGACAAGACTCAATCCGTGGCAGCTAGATGTAATTAATGGTGATGATAGTGTTAGATATTTTGCTCTCGCAAATACTTTAGTAATGGTAAGCCAGTGAAAAAGTTTTACGGTCCCAATTCTTTTGGTAATGTGGAATGGAGTTCCAGAATAATCGCAGCTCCTAGCCCTATGTCTGACTGCATCTTGAAGGTTGTCATCTCCTACTGTAAGTATATAAAAACTTATTCGTTACAGTCTTCTTTACCACAAGTAGTACAAAGGGTCTACCATCTTTTATAGTATTTCCTTTTCTATATTTCTTCTTTAGTGTAGAAACCTTGACTTCTTGGAATAAAAAAAATATTTGCCTCGTTTTCATCCCCACTGTCTTCGTCAGTTACCATACTACCATCATCAGGAGGAAATAAAATAATTTTCCCTGGGTCCTCCCCGCTTACAACTCCTCGGCAATATCATCTAACGTCAACCCGTAAAACGTAAACATGCTCAAAAAACCATCCCCCACTACAAAACAATCCAATAGAAACCAATAGTTGTGATAATAAATAATGCCCAGTGTCACCCACAGGTGACACGTCATATTTTGAGGGTTGTAATGAGTATAGCATATGTTAATTTTATTTTAAATTACATTAATATTATAGCCAATATATTAATTTATCACGTGCGATAAGAAAATAAAAACACTTGCGATGTGAACATTTTCATTTCAGCTTATATTACAGTAAACTCCAAATACGCGCGAATGATCTGAATGAATTTGTCAAATGACGTTTAGTTAGAGTTGAAATAAAATAATAATAAATTTAACGGCTAATTATTCTTGTAGTAATAATGGTAAGACACAAAAAAATATTATCTTCGGTAGAAAAAAAAGTTAAACATCTGTCACTGGGAATTGAAGAGTTGAAATTGAAGGAATTGAACAGCAGAGCGAGACAGTATATCGTGCCGGCACATCGCTTGCAACTGTACAAAGCGCAAGTTCGGCCTCATATGGAATACTGTTCTCATCTCTGGGCCGGGGCACCCCAGTGCCAGCTCGTTCCACTTGACGGCATCCAGCGCAGAGCGGTTCGAATCGTTGACGACCGAGTTCTTTCTGATCGGCTCGATACACTGGCACTGCGTAGGGATGTTGCATCCCTTTGCATTTTCTACCAAATTTACCACGTGGAGTGCTCTGAGGAATTGTTCGGATTAATTCCAGCCGCCAAATTTCACGAACGCACATCGCGTCAAAATTCACGATACCATCCTCACCATCTGGATGCCTGGCGGTCCACGGCTGTACGTTTTACTAGGAATTTTCTTCCTCGTACAACTTCTCTGTGGAATTGTTTATCACATGCGATTTTTCCGGACCGATACGACTTAGGGATCTTCAAGAAAAGAGCTTACACCTTTCTAAACAGCCGGCAACGCATCTGCAATTTTCCTAGTGTTGCGTTGTCATGGGCGGCGGTAGTCACTTACCATCAGGTGAGCCGCATGCTCGTTTGGGTGCAATATAATAAAAATAATAATAAATAATGACTATTAATTTAGAAAGAACTTTGATTCCATCCATTAGTCATATTAAGTGGCAGCTATTATGTATTCTGTGGTGACAGTAAGAGCATTTTGTCTTCATAGTGAAGCCATAAGTCAGCGAGATGAACCGTTTTATTACAACCGCTCATGTTTTTTGTCGGCGTTTCTTTTTTTACAGAGCCGTAATATTTTAGATGAGAGGTGAACAAAAGTTTTAAAATAGCGCTAATTTTGTGCTAAGAATTAGCTCAAAATTATATTTGTCTGTTTTGTAACTGACTAACCAACATAAAGTTTATAGAATATTTTATTTTGATAGTATATAAAACTATTACCACCCTAGACAACGGCAGAACGAGACGTACGAGTAAGCTTAGATGCAGAGTCAGAGCAAAAATAACAAATAATCGCATAAAGTATCAGAAAGGAATACGGAAGACCGGGTCAAATAAATAAAGCCTGAAGCAATTTCAGATTATGGCTAACTATTATCATCTTTATCAAAATCCACTGATGAACATACAGTCCTTCTCCATACATTGCTACAAACGGATATTCGATATAGTTGACACAGTTGGCAGGCGAGTTGGCAACCGCAGTTTTAATAACTTTGAATTATTATTAAGATGATGCTACTTCCCATTTTCATCATCCAATCCATACTTCACTATTTTAGTTTCCGTCTCCTGCCTATTACGATACCCACTTGATAATATTCGACGGCTCCGTGGCGCAGTGGCTAAGGAATGAGTTGCTGTGCTGGGGGCCGCGGGTTCGAATCCAGCATGATTCAAATTGTTTGCCCTAGTGCAATTTGTGTTTGTAAACTGCCTCCACGATACAGAAG